TAATAACAAATGGCTCCAAAATTAAATAAAAGCACTTTATGCGCCTTATTTTAAATAAAATTTAATAAGTGTCGTTGTACATATCCAATCTATATACGGGTATGAATTTAACGGCTATTTATGTTTGATCCATATTCTAGCACAAATTTGAGATTCTTAGCTTGGTGATGGGGTTTGGCTAGCTAAAAAGGTCCTTAATCCTTAGAATTCTAATCTGGTTTCATCAGAAATACCAATTTTCAGTAAAGGCCTATAAATTCTCAAATGTAATCTACATACATCCTAAAAATTGAGGGTATTTATACTAACAAAACATAAATTTCTGAGAATTAATCAGAGTACGTAGATAAACTTGTTTAATGGCTTTGAATCTACAAATGAATTAATTAATATCAACATCTATAAAATAAAATTGTAATTTATTTAATGGTATAAAACAAAAATTATAATCAAGATATATCTCAACAATTAAAAAAATGTCTTCTTTACATACAAATACAATTATTTAATATCAACAACTTTAAATCAATAAAATTAACAATCTTTTTTTTAATGTGTAGACACAAAAAGATTAGTTTTTTATGCATGAAAAATGAGAAAATTAAACAAAAAATTAAAATTAAATCTAAGAGTAAAAACAATACAGAGTAAATTACAAATTAAATAAATAAAGAGAAATGATACCATACGGTTTTCTGGAGTGCTGATGTCGCGATGAATGCACCAATCATTTGGAAGCCAATCAGGCCACACTTGATTATTCTGATTTTCAACCACGATATCATCCCATGAACATTTTTGTTCATCCATTTTCTTCTCGTTCAAGTGAGTGTTTGTTTCTTACAGTTCTCAGTTACACTTTATGCTAGTAATATTTATTTTGCTTTAGCATTTATGCACGTTGATTTTATGTCTATGAGAGATGTTGAGCTCATAACTGTTATTAATACTATGGAACTATTAATGTTTTCTAAGGAAATGAGGGATAATATCGGCCGGGGTGTATGATATTATTGATATGGTACAAAGAATGTAAGGATTTGCAGTATTTGCCATATAAGGTAGAATATCATGTAAAAGAGATGTGTTCATATGCATTATTGGAGTACTTAATTCGATTTATTTGTGTGTGGAAAGTATCATACATGATTTGGGTGTATTAAGTATCTTGATATTTATTGCAAGCTATATCAAATTGGCTCAAACCATTTGTATGCAAATGAATCGATAAGATACGTACTACTCCATTGGGAAAAAAAATATGTACTTATAATTAGTTTAACTTTTCAAAAAAAAAAAAAAAAAAAAAAGACAAATTTATATGTGGAATGTATTAATGTAGTGTTTGGGAAAAGAGAATTATGATTAAAATTTATAATCATGCATGGAGAAATCTATTTTTTTTTTAGGCAGATGGAGAAATTTAATTAGTGAAATATGGTTTAAATTGTTTTTTAAAAAAATGAGGGACAATGTTTTAATGTAATGCTTGAGAAAAGAGAATGATGGTTAAAAATTAGAATCATGCATGGAGAAAGTTAATTAGTACGGAGTAAAATCTTATTTAAAAATTGTTTGGGAAAAAAAAAAGCATAATAAATATAGACACACTTATAATGGGACCATGTGTTAATCTCTATCTAGTAGCAATTAAAGATGGACAACCTAAACAAAGGAGGAGGATTTGGTCCATAAACAAGGCCTAAAGAGATCCATACTAAATCAATTAATGATGCATATCCATAGTAATTAGTAGGATTAACTATTCTACTTTACGGAGTGATGCCATCCCTTTTCTTTTTCTAAGTGAGACGCTCACAAGTAATATTTTTTTTTTTTTTTTTTTAAAAAAAAAAAACCCTTCAAAATTCACCAAATAATGATACAAGTTGATAATTTTTTATTTTTTTTATTTAACAACATACTTCGTTAAAAAAAAAAAATTAAACAACAAGTTATGTGTGTAGCCACATTTGTTTATAATAAGAATAATACTTATTCATTTATACGAGTAACCTTATTTTGTCGATACAAGCAACTCTTTATAAAAGTAACATAAATTGAAAAAAAAAAGAGTAATCTCATTTGTTCATTTGGGTAACCTTTTACATTTTGTTTTAACTATTACAAGAATAATTCCATTTGTTTATATGTGTAATCTCAGTTTTCCGTAGGATTGACTCTCGTTTATACAACCAACACAAGTAACCTCATTGCCTTATGTTAATTATATGCATGTAAAGTGGTCATGCCATGTGGCTGGCCATGTATATTATTCGGGTAACTTCTGTTATATTTTGTTTTAACTCTTACAATAGTAATTCCATTTGTTTATATGTGTAACCTCATTTGTCTTATGTTAATTATATGCATGTAAAGTGGTCACACCATGTGGCTAGCCATGTATATTATTCGGGTAACCCCTGTTATATTTTGTTTTAACTATTACAAGAATAATTCCATTTATTTATCTGTGTAACCTTATTATTTTGTTGGATTGACTATCGTTTATACAACATATTCAAGTAACCTCATTTGTCTTATGTTAATTATATGCATGTAAAGTGGTCATGCCATGTGGCTGGCCATGTATATTATTTGGGTAACTCCTATTATATTTTGTTTTAACTCTTACAATAGTAATTTCATTTGTTTATATGTGTAACCTCATTTGTCTTATGTTAATTATATGCATGTAAAGCGGTCACACCACGTGGCTAGCCATGCATATTATTCGAGTAATCCCTGTTATATTTTGTTTTAACTATTACAATAGTAATTCCATTTGTTTATATGTATAACCTCATTTTTCCATTGGATTGACTCTCATCTATACCGCAATACAAGTAACCTCATTTGTCTTAAGTTAATTACGTATGTAAAGTGGTCACACCATGTGGCTGCCCATGTATATTATTTAATTGGGTAAACTCTATTTATATTAGACCAGTCAATTCTGGTCAACGGGTCGACTTCAGGTCAAATTTCGGGTTGTTTGGTTCGAGTGGTTTGGATGGCTAGGATCATTACAAATTATGATAAATGGGTCAAAATCAGTTCTATTTTGGGTCATTTGGGCTGGGTTGGATCAGGTTTGGGTTTTCTCTTACTAAAACGGGTTTGGAATTGAGTTGAGTCAGGAATTGATAGGTCTACATGCTATATTTTGTTATAAGTTTTTAACTATTACAAGAATAACCCCATTTGTTTATATGTGTAACCTCATTTTTTCCGTTAGATTGACTCCCATCTATAAAACCAATACAACTAATTTGTCTTTGCTAATAATTTGTCGATTGCAGCCATTTAAAGTTTAAATTTTGCAAATTGCAGTCATTTAAAAACAAAAATTGCAAATCGCAACCTAAAAGCACTAAAAAAAAATTCTAAATTGCAACCCAATTTAATCTTTCCATAGATTTGCATGTGAAAAATGTTCTATTAAGATTTTAGGGGTCAATTTATCCCCTAAGGATTCGAATTGAGCTTGGAATTGACAAAAAATAATGTAAGTACCTCATTTTGCATATAAAAAAATGTATCGATTTTTGTGCAAGTATTTTTTTTACCGTGAAATCAAGGCACTTACGCTATTGTTTGCCAATTCCAAGCACAACTTAGACCTTTAAGGCCTAAAATGGCCCATAAAACCTTAACGGAACAATTTTAGCACGCAAATCGATGAAAAAATTAAATTGAGTTGTAATTTAGAATTTTTTTTTTTTTTGCTTTTAGGCTGCAATTTGCAATTTTTTTTAAATGACTGCAATTTGCAACATATATACTTTAAATAACTGCAATTTGTAATTTTTTAGAAGTACTTTTGGGCTGCAATTTGCAATTTTTAGTAGTACATTTGGGTTTCAATTTGTAATTTTTAAAAAAATGGATGCAAAAAAAAATTTCTTTAAATAACTGCAATTGACAAATTTTCCTCATATGCACGTAAAGTAACTATACCATGTGGCTCGCCATGTATATTTCAAATGAAAAAAAATTAAACTTTTAATTATAAATTGAGAAGAATAAATAGTACCTGATAGAGTTTTTTTTTTTTTTTTTTTTTTTTTTTTTTTGGTGTTTAAAGAGCCACAAGGACGGGGGTGAGAATCAATCCAAGGATCTCCTAGAATAAGGGAAGCTCTAACCACTTGAGTTATCCCTCACTCTCACCTGTTAGAGTTTATGTAAACTATATACAATGCCAAATTTGAAAATAACCAATGCCAATGAAAACTTTCCTATTATATATGAAGTACAGAAAAAAGAGGGTATGTGTTCATTCATTTCCATATGAGAGTTATTAGAGAAATACAAAGTAAAGAATATATTGTTCATTTTCGTATGAGAGTCATTAAAGAGAGGTGATCGATTTACCAAGTAAAAAAATTAGGAACAATGGATTTCTCACCTATAACTATATAACATCAAAATCAAATGTAGCATATGTATCTATTCTAATAAATCAAGCAACGCATTGGATAGCTAATGTAGTATGTTGTACGTATTATGAATATTGATGCTTGTAATAACTCTAGTTTGTTTTCTATTCTTTCTTTTGATACATTAGGAATTCTCTTCGTGAGATGGGCTTCCTAATGTTTATTTTTTTTTATGTTTATATATTCCTAAATAAATCATTTATACAATTATACCACAATCTCCGTTAGGAAGAGATTACTGTCACTTGGTATTTCATGTTTGTACTCTGAAATTTGTAGACTTTGGTCTTGAATTCCATTTGACAAAGAATGAAGACGGAGTAGAGGGGCGACTATCTATACACAAGAGAATTCCATTTGATAAGGAAAAATGCTTGCTCTAAACAAGCAATGCTAGTCATCTCCAAAATCATGCATTCGAATTGGAACAATCTCTTGGGATATTTTGCAAATTTTCTCTAATTCACAAGTGTTACGAGTATTTTGGGAATCCCACTAGAATGGAAGGCATTTTTGTCATTACGAGTATAGATCTGCTACTATAAAGGAAACATAAAATTGTAAAAAGAACATTAAGAACCAAGGCTTGCAACTTCAAAATGCAGAGAATTCAAATTACTAAGTTGTAATAACAAAAGAAAACTAGCTAAATTTCAATCTAACTAGTCCTATTGGGTCAAAAGAACCATGCACCATAAATGTTAAGATTATTCACAAATATTCAGCTCAAAAAGAAGCAAAAGGAAAGACACTATTACACTATATAGACATGGTTCACTTCTGTGGTTTGTTAGTATGTTTTAACTAGCCTTTTTAATCCCACAATCGAGAGAGAGGATAACTCTTAGAATAATGCTCCATTGCTACCATTTGGTAAAGAGAGGTAAGTAAAAGCTGCACTCCATTCTTGCTTGGCAGATTCAGGGACCCTCTCAACGCTATTGGTCAAGGGCCTCCACGTCCCTTCATAGATATCAGACAAGACCCATTTCACCTTCGCCGGGGCATCGTGAAAATTGAAGTTCTTCCAAGAAACTTTTGCCTTTGACTCAGCCTTCTTCCGCTTAGGGGTGGCAGAGTCAGGCACAGGCTGCAAAAGCAACATCAAAGCTATTATGAGCACCAGGACACCAGGTTTCTGATAGCCTGACTTGGGCAGATTATGATACTCAATAGTCAATGCCCTGTATTTTTCTGTAGTTTCTAAAGCAGATTTTGTTCAACTTACCGAACCATTAGCATCATCTGTTTTATTCTTTCTCTTTGTGGAACTTCCTGTTTGGATATAGTTGAGCACTTCCTTCTTTGACCTGAGCCTAACCTTTGTCGCTTTCTCTATATAGTACTGCCAAGGACGAAGACCAAGTAGGTTAGCTCACAAGGATTAACATTAGCCCCCAAACGGGGAAGAAGAGACAAGAAGAACAATATATTGTCATATAAATACAGAGACATGCAGGAGTAGAGCATAATTTCAACATATCAGAAGAGACATCTCTAGCTTTGTTGCACAAAGAACAAGTTGGAGTAAAGATGAAATTTATGAGCAAATGGCACAGAAGAGTACAAGTAGAGAATACAGTAATGTGTATGTGCCCTAAAAATAACCTTGAGAGAGATGCTCTTTGTTCCTACCAGCAGCTGATAGCATCGACTAAATGTATATAGCTTTAAAATGACGTCATAGTTTCAATTAATGCCATGAGCCTTTCAGTTCGTTGGTTCAGATACAAAGCTAGAATTAATCATACCTTTATAAGCACTCATCAGCTTAGATATAGATCCAGAAACAATTAGTCAACATAAAGTTGGAATGACAAAAGTCCACAATGTTGATCAGCCAATCAAAATCAGTTCTACCCGTTGGTTCAAGAAGTGTATAGATATGCATTCAGTACAACCAATAACGATAGTTTACAATGAATCTGTAGAGAAAGTAGAATCTCGAACCTATATTCCCAATCTGCAAGTATGAATGCACTTTACAGTTTATGGGCATTTGGACGCTATTCATGGACCCTTTAGTCAAAAGTTGCACATAGGTCTTGTTCTTTACACTTCAAAAAAGTAAATTTTAATCCAGATCAGATTTATTTGTTCAGTCCAGGGCTAATTAAATCAACCAAGTTCTGTTTAGAGCTAATAAGTTCATCTCAGGGCCAATAAGTAAAAAAGTTCCATTCAACATATGATGAATAATTCAGTTCAATACATGACTAGTATGCACAGTTGAGTTCAGTACATCACTAATATACAAAATTATAGCCTAGACCCTCTAAATATTGCAAGTGAAATCTATACTATCCCCTAATGTTTGCATAATCATTTAAATTTCTCTTTTTCCAACCAATGATCCCCCTCCCTTGGATCTAAGCAATTACAACAACAAATCAGAGCGTGTCTCAAGGCCATAAAAAGGAGAGTTGCGTACTGTGTGAGTATTTATTTGTGACATTCAGAGTGTGTCTCATTGTCTCAAGGCCATAAAAAGGAGAGTTGCGCTAGGTCTGTGGTAGCCACTGTAAAAACTTAGTCACGTGACCTTATGAATCTAAGCAACACTGCAACAGATGTCAAGAATATTACCTCTAGACCCACTAAATATGTTCCTTTCACATTTATAATAGTGCAATGCTTATCTATGGCTGTGGAGGACTATACAGCTTCTACTTTATTAGTGAAGTCACACTGTCACAATAGTAATTCACCAAAATTATGGCACCATAACTTTTATGAAAAATTAAGGAGCAAACTAATGTAAAATCAAGTTTTAATTGTATTTTTGAAAAGCAATTATCTTTTAACAATGTCTGATCTCTAGGCGAACCAGGTTTGGCAAACACCTAGTTAAAGCAAGTATCAACTTAGTAAAAGCCGGCCCTAACATCTATGGTGTTTACAAGTCAAAATCAATATTTTTGGATGCATAAAAAGATGTATAGATAAATCAATGGTCTAAAAGATTTGGAAAAGCCAGTGTTTTTTTTTTTTTTTTTTTTTTTTTTGTACATGATTATTCCCTGTGACCCTTGTCAAATTACTCTGCAAAATTTATTTCAAAACACGCTCCTCCAAAAACTAATGTGATTACTACGGAAAATCAATGACTTTCATAGTTTCATGTTATCAATCAGATTCAAGAAAATGAACTGAGAATGATGCTATTATTAGGGTAATAAAAGCCAAACTTAAGAAAACGAATGTGAATACAAGGAAAAAAGAGAAGAGTGATGGTGTGACTATAAGAGAACTATGTAGTGATAGGGTGATGAGAGGTAAAGAAAAGGGATCTACTACCCTCATTTTGATGTATAGTTACACTAGGGGGAGGATGGGTAACTATTACCCTCATTTTGAGGGTGATGATTTCTCCATATCTCTCTTTTCCTCGTGCCACAACCACCTTATTCTATTTGTAAAAGCCTTACCTCCTTCAAGAATACCTCTAATCAATTATATTTTTTCTAGTTTTGACTTTTATTACCTTATTATCCCCATTCCAAGCATGCCTTTTAGAGATAGATGAACTTCCAAACAAACTGATTTGATCATTTAAAGCCACATTAAGCAGTAAGATAATGTGAGTAAAAGGAAAACAAATATGGAAAGGAGCACCAAAAAAAACCTTTGTAAATATTTTCGAATGAAAAGATTTTTGTAAGGAAAGGATACGTACGAAACAATATTCAGTAGATGTAGGACACACAAAATAAGAATCAGGACGGAACAGTAAAGTGAAAATTGTAGAATAAAGGGTTAAAAAAGAGTTCTCAGGATTGAATTTACCTCCAAAAGTCTAAATGCTAGCTTCTTGCCATAACTATTCATCTTAATCGAATTTCAGGAGGCAGATACAAAGGCTTCACTCCGGGGTTGGATTGAAGCAGTGAGTTCCATAATCTCAAATTTAATAGGGAGTAGTTCTTTACCAATTTCTAGATATACAATGATATGACGAAGAATGGTATGCCTTCTACCTAGTTGGGCCATTGACATACGGACTTTCAATCTCACCTTTAAGTACTAACACAGGACATATGACAATTTAACAGGGTATAGGCCAAAAATCCCAGAACAATTAGAAATTGGTAAAGTACAACACTATCGTGCACCCATGGCGTATATTAGTTATTGAATCCACATTAACATACTGCTCAACATGCATTCCTTGAAGTTAGGAGCAGCCATGATAAAAAGTGTGTGCTAAGTAACAAACGGCTAATGAAACCCTAGTTCACCTATGAGTAACTTTTTGTAACTAAATTGAAATCATTGAATAGAACTTTAGTTATTAGTGATTAGTCTGAAAACAGCCAAAAGTTTACTTATTTGATAATCTCGTTGAAAATGCTTCCTACTGTTGACTTTGCTGTAACCCTTGAATGGCTTGAAAGCTTTCAAATACATGAGGAGCCAGATTAAGAAAAATAAAAATTAAGCTTCAACCACTATGCAGCCATAGTATGCAAAGTGCGAAGACTATGAAGCTTCAAGCCTTCAACTACTCACACATGCAACAACTGCAGAATCTACCAAATGCCAAACTAGTTCACTAAGTTTTGGCCTGAATTAAGCTAAGTTAAATGAGTACTCCAATACAATTGAATCTCCTTAATCATGTAATCATCATGAATCCTACGGAACGTGTTTCTTCATCCTCTATAGCCAACCTAATAAGGCATTCCTAATTTACTATCAATAATAGGTCATGATTTACTTCTCCAATGTTAACTCGCGAGCATTTATTATGACACCTCAAATCTTATACACCCAGTCCGCTATCACAAAACAATGACTAACATACTTACATACCAATTGCTTTCACTTAATTCCGGATCACAACACTACCCTCCCAGAGAAGGAACTTTCAGGCACTACAAGCAATAACTTGTTACAAACACTCAATTAAACAATTACCAAGCATACCTCACTAAGCATAGAACTAATACACTATCATATGAAAAAAAAAAAGCAACTATGGAATTATGTCAATTATATAATGAGTATCAAAACTACTCTATCCATCTCAAAATTTTCTTCAAAAATCACTTTTTGCAGCATCCCATAAAAATGCGGAATCTTACATTTTGAGTATTAAGACAACACAAATTAAAGTGTAAAGTTAATTGTTGGGACAAACACAAACTCGTATATACTTCTTCCGTTTTTATTTATTTATTTATTTTTATTTTATTTTATTTTTCTTTTATTTTTATGCAATACACCTCTTTAACACACTTTTTTTTAAGTTATTTAGAGTAGATAAATGAGCGATTTATCAAACTAATTTGAACACCAAAGATTAGAGAAGGATTAATACTACGGCCTATATTAATTTTAGGCATTCTCTATGATATGTCTTCTTTACAAATTATTTTTAAATGAAATTATTTTGTAAAGTGGAGTGAATAGGCCTACGTCTAAAAATTATTTGTAGATTACAAATAATAACTCCAAGAAATATCCACAGTGTAACAAACACAAGTGCACAACATCAATAAACCAAATAATTTGTAGATTACCCAATACTTGTACCACAAAGTCACCAACATTTCAATTCGAATCAATTAATTAATTAATCAAACCTTCCCCAAATATTAAAAGCTCCACTAAACAAGATTCATACTCTAATAAAACTAAAAAACATAAAATCAAATTAAATCAGTATTTAAAAAAAAAAAAAAAGAATACCTTATCGCGAGAACCTTTAGAAGCACCGGAATTCCTAACACGCTCTTGAACCACCCAATCAGAAGACAACCAATCAGGATTCGGCACAATAGTACAATCGGACGGCTGAGATTCATCCCCGGCAGCAGTTTTCTTACCGGATTTCTTCTTACTCCCATTCGAAGTTGCTCCTCCGCCCTTTTCATCGGGAATCTGCGCCGGAGATTCCACCGCAACCGGATCAACGGTTGGAGGGATGACCCCATTTGAAGAAATCGGGTTTGGATCAATGAAAGCTCCGGATTGCAGAAGCGGGTCGGGTTCAAAAAGGCCGAAATCTTCCATTAGAGAGAGAAATTCTGGGGTTATTGAGAAAAGAGCTGGAGATTTATTGGTGTAAATGTGAATTAAAGGGGAGTATTAAATAGGAAGGTGTATGTTTTTGGGGGAATGTCGAGGAGAAATTAAGTGGGGTTTAAAGGAAGAAGAAGAAGAAAGAGAAAGGATCTGACTCACTGATTGTTGCAATTTACTGCTCACACAATTTGGTTCGTACTTGACTGTTTTTTTTATGTCTACAAATAGCATGGAATATTTTTTATAATTTTCAGGATTTCCCTAAATTATTGCTAATTTTGAGATGAATATCAGAAACGATTTCTTTATAGATTAATACGGGGTGGTTTGTTAGGACTTAGGAAGGTATTTTGAGTGATCTCCTAATGTGTACATTCTTTTTTTCCTAATCGTCTTTATTTGATTTGATGAGGAAGCTTCATATGCCTAAAGTATCACGGATATGGAATTGGATTATTATCGGATCATTGTCACATAATTGTTGGGCTTATCACTATGATAAAGCTATTCTTAGAATGTAGACTTAAACTTTATGATTCTTTTTCAAAAAATATTAGTGCAATTGCAAGTGAAGGTGTTCGAAATGATGCATATGTTGTTAGAATGATGCTTATGTTATGATACAAATGAAGCAATAACAATTAACATACCCACCGCAGCGCACAAGATGGAGTAACCAATTTAAGCTCATCAATTACCCGCCAATTCAAGCTCATCAATCAATCGCCAATTCAAGCTCATCAATTACCCGCCAATTCAAGTTCATCAATCACTCGCCAATTCAAGTTCATCAATTACCCGCCAATTCCAAGTTCAACGAGGGCAATTGACTTGCTTGTTGAGCAAGGTCCTGAAAATGCGGCGACAATTAAAAGATTATCCGAGAAACTGTGGGGGTTTGAAATTACCTTGTATTCTGTAATGGGCCTTCTGCTTTCCTATTGGTTGACATTAGATTCGTTGCAATAATTATATTGGCTAGCTCTTAACTGCGTAATGATTTTGTATTATATAGGGTTACAAGATGGCATGTATGACACATTAGTATGATAATCTTTCGAGCTATAGTAATATAGTTAAGCTTTTGAAACTGGTGTCTTGGAAAATTGTAGACTCAGGATTGTTGCATTTATATACACAATTCATCATTTACCACATGGTTTTAACCTTTTTTTCTTACTAGGGTGGCTAGCGTGCGCACCATGTCAAGCCATTTACGGGGAACTCTTGCAGTTGTTGGCAAAATAATGAAAGAAAATATTTTTAGGGGTATAAATGTCCGTACACTATTCTTAAGAGTTTTTTTTTTTTTCCTTTCTTTTTCTTGTTTTTTGTTAATTTTTTTTAAGAAAATCAATGGGGCAGATAAGTAAATAAAATTTGGGTATATAATTGTCGAAGCACTATACACATACAGAGTAAGATTTGAATAATTAAAGCACACAAGTACAAACTTAGAGGCAATTAGTATCATATCAATAGGGGTGTATAAATAAACACATATTTTAATGATATATTGTAATTGTTCTCACACTATTCATAAGTGTTTTCACATAATTTTTACTTAGTATTTATAGAGTTGCTTCACCCCTATAAAGAGAATCGACGCAAATTACATAGGGCCATAAGTGTTAATTCATACAACAATGGTATTCAAAGCTTAATAATCACGTTCGATAGCTTTTTCTATAGGGCCGCTTACTCTTTCCATTCCTATTTGCTCCTCCCTAAGAAGCTATTATGTTCAGCTTAATTACAATTTAGTTACAATTCATTTCATCTCTATTGAGATCAGTTGTATTGTTTTTAAAGAACAACCCTAACTCTTTCAACACTCTTAACAAAAACCAAAGGATAAACAAAAGATACGAATAAAAGGGACAAAAAAAAGCCGAAAGAGGAAAAGGAAAAAGATAGGCAAGTAGTGTAGCAAGGAGAAGTTTTAGTCAAGAAAAACAAAATCAAGTGTTCACCAATTGAAGTTGAAATGCGAGGAGATCGCGTGATTTTGAAGGCTGTTATCAACAACATAGTTTTCAGGGCTTTCAGTTCTTCTTCAATTCAATCATCACTTTCAAATCAATTTGGTAGACTCAAGCATCTGGGTTTTGATCTTCCTGATGTCTGGCCTCCTGCAACCTGTTCTCAACCTTCCATTACACCTTACTGTAATATTCAATTTTTCTATCTCTTATCTTCTTTTTATTGATTAATTGATTATTGGGTATGTTCTAGAATGTTATTTAAAAGCTTTGAAGAATTGAAGTTTGTGAATTTTATGAATAATTGTGAATTGAGTTGTTTGATTGAATGATTAGTGATTTTGGGTAAATGGGTTTATGAAGAATACTTTGATTGGGTTAATACTCACTTGGAAACTGCTTTACTTGGAATTTGGTTAATTTGAGAGAGTAATTTGTAGAAATTACAACTTTTACTCTATTGGAAATTGTTCAATCTTCAGTCTTCATTAGCAGTAGTGTTTTGCATGACTTGTTGATTACTATGTACTGTGTTTCCAGCCCTCGGTGATATAATCTTCTTCATTACTTCTATATTAAGAGATGTGAAAAGAAAAGTTGTTTCTAGTATACTACATGGATTTGTGTATTTTGGACAATTCTACTTTTATTTTTTAGGTTAGTTGATCGACATGTGAAACATGGTTTGCTATTTCTTCGGCCGAGGCTCCAAAATGTTCACATATGCAGTGAAGTGTGGGATAAATGCTACTAAAATGTTGTTTTTGTTAAGTTCATTTTGATATTCTGTTTGGTATGTGATTTGGCTCTAGCAACCATCCGACCATGGGGATGTTTGCCTGAATGGAACGATCTCTAGCGTGGTTATTTTCTAGTATCCTAATCTTTTGTTGCTACAATAAGCTCTTCAACGCTGGCGATTGATATTTAAATTGATGAAACTCAAACTTTATGAAAGCAAGATTTATATGATAGATCTCATTGCTAATATGTTTTTCTCATAATTTGACCTCGGAAGTATTTGAAAAAAAATAAAAAAACTTGGCTAACATTTAGTATTGAAGAATCTGCAAATTATGCCTAATGTAACTATTGATCTCTGTTGCTTGCTTCGGTGCAAACTTGGTTAATTATCTCTGTTGCTTGCTTCGGTGCAAACTTCACTAAATCATTGGAATTACCCAATCTTATAGATAGTTTAAAGTTCTATATTTGCAAGTCAGTCAAGCGATGAACCTTTTTAGTCTTCTCCTGGATTAAAATTCCATGCTGTTTACATGTGAACTAATTAGGCACTTGAAAAGTCTGTGAAAAATGTTGATTGCTTGATTATTCTTCAAGAATAATAAATTGTCAATTATGCCATTTGAAGCAGTTGATGGGCCGAGTGCTGAAATCATTGATGGGAAGTCTATTGCCGCTAAAATTAAGTCACAAGTAGCTAGCGAAATTTTAAAGATGAAAGATGCGGTTGGGAAGCAACCTGGTTTGGCTGTTGTTTTGGTAGGTGAAAGAAGTGATTCTCACACTTTTGTCCGCACCAAGATGAAGGCTTGTGATGAAGTTGGGATTTCTTCGTCTGTGATTGAACTGCATGCTGACTGTACAGAGGATGAAGTCTTTCATGTTGTTTCGAATCTTAATAAAGACCCATTGATCCACGGTGTCCTTGTGCAGCTTCCTCTTCCAAAAGTAATTTCTAGAACCATCTCATTATCTCTAGCTCTTTTTTGTCTGTCATATATTAATGAATAATGAGAATGTGTGTAGTAGATTTCTTAAGGCATGCTTAATTGAGGGACTTAAACTTATTTATACACTTACTAATATTAATTAACATACAAATCAAGCTCGTAGTGTCAACTTACTAGCTTCCTATAGTTTTGTCTGGGTGCTTGGGGGTGGGAACTGGGAGGTGGAAGTTCATTACTATAAGGTCTATAACTAAATATAGTAATGTTAATACCTCATGGAAGTACTAAAATAAAAATTGTTTCGCCCCACTTTTAAAAATATATACTCGGTGATTAATCAAGCAAGTTGTGTTAATACCATAACTGTTGTATCAACTGACTATTAAATGAAGCTAGTTTCTTATGTTCTTTTATTGGGTAATACCATATTTTTGGGTTTATAGCTATTAAATCTTCATTAATTTTGGTGCTGCTAGGGTTTGTTGGATCATTTATGGAGTATCATTCATTGGCTTCTGCTAACTGGTGACCTGTTTTGCTCAGCATTTGGATGAGGAGAAGATTCTGAATGTTGTTAATCCTGAAAAGGATGTCGATGGTTTTCATCCCTTCAATATGGGAAGTCTTGCAATGAAAGGAAGGGAGCCCTTTTTTATTCCATGCGCAGCCAAAAGTTGCATTGATTTATTGTTAAGGTCTGGTGTTGAAATCGCGGGAAAGAATGCAGTTGTGATTGGGCGAAGCAAACTTGTTGGATTGCCTGTTTCATTATTGCTGCAGGTACTTATTTCACACAACTCGGTTTAAAATTTATGCGCCTTTTGTGGAAGAGGAATTTACGGATAATGTTAATTTCATTTTTTTTCTGGAAGAGGCACCATGCCACAGTGAGTGTTGTGCATTCATTCACCAAGAACGCACAAGAATTAACTCGTGAGGCAGATATAATCATCACAGATGTAGGTGTGCCCAACATGATTCGAGGCAATTGGTTAAGATCAGGTGCTGTTGTTATTGATGCAGGAACCAATGCAGTTAAGGTAAAACACTTGCAACTTCCTACAGACAATTGAAAAATATTACTGCATTATTTTGTTTCCAATAAAACAAGTGTGGCTTTGTAGAGTTGTGTTGTAGTTACGGAGTATTACTTATAAGTTTCGTTCCTGGTATTAATTATGGCTGTATATCAATAATAGGTACTATTTATGTCAAGGTCATGTTGTTTAGATAATGTGCCGGGCCAAGGTGGTCTTTGGCAAAGTTTGGCCTGTTTTCGGCTTGGGAATATTGTTATATAAGGTATAAGCCGTATACAAAGTTGGACTAAAATCTTCCATTGGGGTCAGTTGAGCCCAAAAATTTTTGCCTACCCAATTGCAACGGGAAATTCTGTCCCCCAAAATATGGCCAGGCCAGTTTGATTGTTTGATGAGCTCTATGTTGAAGGAAGCTTGCGTTGTTTGATACACTGAAATGTATCTGTGCTTTGCAGGACCCAAGTAGGAAAAATGGGTTCCACTTAACCGGTGATGTATGCTTTGAAGAAGCTGTAAGGGTGGCATCTGCTATTACCCCTGTTCCGGGAGGTTTGGGGCCTGTAACAATCTCCATGCTGCTCTCGAATACTCTTGATTCTGCTAAACGCGCTTATGATTTTGTCTAAGGTTTGATTGGTATGTTCTCTACAACACAGCACCTGCTATTTCATATTTTACTCTTATTTAGGATTCATTTAACTGAACTCATTCTTTTTGTTGGGACTCTTAGTTGTGGTCTTGTGGAGGCTATTTAAGCTATTTGTGTCAATTTGTAGTTCTATTAATCCTCAGTCTAGATTCTCTATGCAACTGTAGGAATCAATAATACTTGTTTGGTTCTCTCAAGCGGCTGTAGAGTATAAAGCTTAAAGTGGCAGTAGCGTATCCTGTAAACTAATCCTGCTGAGGAGTCGAATTGGACATTTAACTAATCCTGCGAGGATTCAGAACATAGATTATGTGTAGTGATCCAGTAGTACGAAGCCTGGCATAAGAATCATCATGCAAAGTTTTACAGTTGACATAAAGAAGATTAAGAACCCTCAAGCAAAGGTTTAACAGATGACATCCTGAGTTTTTCGAAGTACATATGGTTACAGTCTCATCAATCAGTGCCATTACATTAAGTTGGTCTTGTATGGAGGAATCATATCATGTTAACTCATTGCTCATAGCTTCTTTTTTGTTTTCCTGTTCTTTGTTGCAATCATATCACGTTAACTAATTGCTCATAGCTTACTGTTTTGCTTTCATGTTCTTTGTTTTATTCATATCCGTAACAACTGTGTAAGGACGATTACTCCCTATTTTTGGTGCCTAGTCATTCAATGGTTCTGACCTCTCCTTGTCAATTCGGTTCTAATTAATTTGTTTATAATTAAAAAAAAATCCTTGTTTTTCAAGGTTCTTGTTGATAGTGGAGTTGGCATATTGCATAGACAGCATTTCCCTTTACAGCAAAGGTCTCATTTCTTTTAGGATAGATTTGTCCCACACTATAACTTTCCCATATCCTTTTAGAATTCCCACAATTTTTATTTTTTTAACACTAAATTTTAGACGAAAGTGCTCTTTAACTTATTGACTCTTACCTGAACTTATTGTCTTTAGAAGGATATCAAGTACTCCGTACATACTAAGAGTCTGTTCTAATTGACTAAAATGAATATTTTATGAGAGAAATAAATTAAAAACTGATCTGAATTGAAAATAATCTGAAGAGAATAGATCTAAATTATTCTAATTTCATCTTCTTTTATCCAAAGTTTAACTTAAGTATTGGAAAAGTAAATGATGGAGTACTAAATTGACCATTGATTAAAATGTATGGATAACTGTATACTAATACTATTCATCTTTAACTCTATACGTCAACAGTCAACTGATGCTTAAAATTCCTGAATTTCTTCCTCTAGATGCTTCAAGCCACAATCAAAGAACATAAGTCCACAACTTATAAAACTTTATCACGTGTAAATTCTCAATCACTCTCCTTGACGTGTCTTTGTCTCTCTACATTACCCTCCATTATTGACCTCTAAAAGAACATATATACCTTCACATCTCCTCCAAACAAAAAACTCCTTCACCTTTATTCTTCCTCCAACCAAAAATGAAGAATCAAATCCACTTCCTCCTCATTTTCTCTCTCCTCCTCCTACTTTCCACCGCCACTTCCTCTTTCATCGGCGTCAACTTCGGCCGCGTCGCCGACAACCTCCCACCACCTTCCTCCGTCGCTAACTTCCTCACTTCCCAAACTACCCTCACCTCCGTCAAACTCTTCGACTGCGACCCTCAAATCCTCCAAGCTTTCGCTAACACTAACATCTCTCTCACTGTCAACATTCCCAACGCTAACATCATCCAACTCACCGACCCTTCCGCCGCCCAATCATGGGTGTCCTCCAACATCCTCCCTTACCACCCTCAAACCATCATCCGCTACATCGCGGTTGGAAACGAAGTTCACTTCTCTGGGGATAAAGCCCTTATAGCGAACACTGTCAAAGCAATGGAGTCAATTCACCAAGCACTGCAATCCTCGAAAATAACCGACATCAAAGTTACCACCCCTCACTCCCTCGCCATCTTACCCCCGTTAATGTCCCCGAGTTCTGGACACTTCCAGAAGGGGTACGACCACGTCTTCTTCGGCCCGCTGCTGGAATTCCACAGAAAAACTAAATCACCTTTCATGGTTAACCCCTATCCTTACTTCGGGTTCAATGCTTCAATGATTGAATTCGCTATATTCAAGAAAAACGACGGCGTTTTGGACAAGGCAACTGGGTTAAAGTACTACAACATGTTTGATTACTTGATGGATGGGGTTTACTCTGCTATGAAAAGGTTAGGCTATGATGACGTGGATATAGCTGTTGGTGAAACCGGTTGGCCCTCGGCCGGTGATCCGGCTACCGAACCGGCGGCTACTTTGGATAATGCGGTTTCTTATAATGGAAATTTAGTTAAGCATTTGAAATCTGGTAAGGGAACGCCGTTAATGCCGAACCGGACATTTGATACTTATATTTTTGCTCTGTTTAATGAAAATCTTAAGGAGAGTGTTAGTGAGAGGAATTACGGTTTGTTTAGACCGGATTTTAGCCCGGTTTATGACGTCGGAGTTCTGAAGTCGCCTTCTCAGGTATGGGTATATTCGTCTTTTTACTTCTTGTTTGTGGTAGCTGAATTGATTAATAACCTGACATTAAAAAAAAAAAAAAAAACCGTCCTTTGTAGTTTGTACAGTAAGGTGTAGGGTAAGCTACTTTATCAAAAACAGTTTTTTAAAAATTGAAATAAAGGGTAGTATTGTCATTTCATGTCTTTTTATTGGAAAATGTTTTCCCGGGTTTCTATAGCATGGGTCCCATCCTCACATAGGATCTCGCTAATGTGACGACTATCTTACTATTAAGTTACTTGTAACAATTTTATGTTTAACTGTTATAGTGCTCGTAGTAAACAATTTTATGTTAAATTGTCATTTTATGTCTTGTTATAGTGCTCGTACTTCTATTAATTTAGAAATGCATGTGACTGACTCAATTGATGGATGATTTAATGTTGCGTAAATAAATTGTTTTTTAAAATTGAATTTAAGGCGGGAGGACCCACAGCGGCACCAACGGCTCCATCGCCGACGGAATCAGGTGGGAAATGGTGCGTGGCAAAACCAGATGCAACTGATGATAAATTACAAGGGAACTTAGATTATGTATGTAGCTTAGGGATCGACTGTAAGCCAATACAGGATGGTGGACCCTGTTTCGATCCCAATACTGTTAGATCTCACGCATCTTACGCCATGAACGCTTACTACCACATCAATGGTCAGCAAGATTCCGATTGTTTCTTTGATGGCACCGGTGTCGTCACCTCCAGTAACCCTAGTATGATCTCTACTCTTACTTATAGTCGCGCTCTTTTTCCCTTTCACTATTTGAATCGTCTATGCATAACTTTAACCATGATTGTTTTTAGAAATTGATAATTATATTTTGAAAATGGTGCAAGTTAAAAGAAGTTTATTTTATTTCAAACTCTAATTTAATTTATTTTTCCTCTAATGAAGGTTATGAAGCATGTCAGTATGTGACATAACGACATTGGTGGGATCGTGGGAGCTCCAGAATTATTAATAAATATTCAAACTACTACGGAGTACGTATTTAGGTTAGTAGATCATTAATTTTTATTAGTTAATCATAAACTGTCAGTAATTAGTACTATAAGATGAGTTGGATGTATTGTAGTTAGCAAAGAGAGTATCGCTGCAATATTCTTGCAGATGATACATTATGCTGTTGTGAATGTACTACCAGTACTGTACTAGTTACTTTATTTCTTGTGTTGCAAATTTGCAATTACATTAAAGTATATAGGTTTTTTCCTGGAATGTGATCAAATTTCAATAGCCTATTGTATTGTGTGATTTGTGTCAAACAAAATTCAATGTATCATATAGGATTTAATGAACCACCAATTCTATATCAGTATACCTTCAATACTTTAATTAACAACTTGTTCAACATCAAATCTATACTCACAAAAGTACAACATCGATCGATTCTTACCCCTGCCCTTCCGGCTCTTTAAACACTAAAAAAAAAGTACAAAACCATGCTCTGCTCCGTTCTTCATATGGTTGTTTCTTGGTCCTTCATCCCCGTTCGCCGCGCCAGTGAAGTCAGCTGCCCTTCTTGGCACATGTTTCAATTAGGAAGCTCAACAATTTAAAGAGAAAGCCCTGAAATTAAATCATCATATGTGATAGGACCGCGACAAATAGGACAAGTAGAATGTGTCCTTAAATACCAGCTGTTTATACAAAAAGTGTGAAATCTATGTCCACAGAGACTCAAAATTGTTCCAGAAAAAGTTCTACGTATAGGTATAACTTCACCATCTACTTCCATCGGCTCCGTGTCATACGTTTCAAAACTATCTAAACAAATCACACAATCCAAGCAACTTCGAGTAATTTCATTTCTCTTCTCTACGTCAATTTGTAGTATTACTGGATCCTCCTCCAAAAAGTAGTCTGTTTGAATTTGTATCGTGTTGGTGGTAGGCATTGCACGCAAACTAGGCATACCTTGAACTTGATCATGATTGTTCTGGGCTGAACCGGTGAAAAAACATCTGCTGTAACAATCACGAATTATTAAAATTACTACGATTACTAAAGCAGCAAAGAAAACGAAATTCACTGGTTCCATTGTTGTGTGCTAAGTTGCTAGATCTCTCCACCTTCTATGCAACATACGTATATAGATATTCAACTTTGACACTTAAATTTCTCAGTAAGTTTTTTTATTAAGAACAAACAAGTCCCCTATTTATCGTATAAATATATATATCTCCGTAACACAATTAAAATCCTTGCTATTCAAGATATTATTTTTGAAACATGATATATTTTTGGAATATTTATCTTGTACAGGCCGAAAGATGTTAGAGTTGTAATTTTTGGATCATATAAAAATAAAATAATAAGAATTACAATGATAATTCTAACTATTTCCATAAGATATTATTCTGTAAATTATAAAGATATTTAGGAAACAATTATCATAAGAAGAATATTAATTAACACTTAGCTAAATAATCAAACTTTGGTGAAACTACAACTATTCATGTCTATTGTAGAATAAGATTGATTAAAAATGATAAAAAAAAAAACCCGATGTTTTTACAGATTTTTTTTCCCTATAAATACAACTATTTTCATTACACATTTGACAATACATTATTTCAATCATTAATGTAATATATCTTAAAATTTTAAGAAATTAATATTTATAAACTGAAAAGATTTAACAAGAACCTAAGTAACAAGAATGGAAGAAGTACATTAGATTGTACTCTGTATACAAGTGCGACAAAGAGGACACGTTTGGTGCTTTGTTAGCCATCTCTGAATACAGAAACTGTGAAATCTATGCCCACATTGCTCCAAAACCTTAACCCCACCGTTGTCAACATCATGGTCGTTTTTCGCAACGTCAAAACTATCCAAACATATTACACAATCACTGCAACTCAGAGAATTTTGCAAGATTTTCTCCACGTCTAACATTATTGACTCCACATCTTGCTTGGTCTCCAGTTGGACTTCCCCTAGACGTCGAGGTTGTCCTGGGTTCACTGGTATACTTTGGGCTTCTCGAAGGACTCGACCTTGAGGTTGTGTTGGGTTGGCAGACACATGAATAACACCACGGTAGGAACGATTCTGGATGCAGCAGCAGTAAAAGCAGGAACATATGAGATAGGAGATACCGCTAGCAATGAAAAAGCCTAACGTTAAATATAACAAAAATAAGAGAACTTCCCCGACACTCATCTCATGATACATGATTTTTGTACTACCTCGGATTTTTTTAAGTTGCAACTTTGGGGTATTATTTGAGAGATATAAAATGTTCCAAAGTTGCATCTAAAAAAAAATCGGCGGTAGTTTATGCTTAAGTATTAAAATAAGAGTACTAAATATAATACATGAATAGGCAAAAAGATAGCACTTCTGAATTTTTAATGTTGAATTGAAGGTAATCACCTTTTTTAGAGTTCTAATAGAACAAGGAGCATTTTCTTTAAAATCAGGATAATAATTATAAATATATAATAATAACAATTCAATAATATCCACTAGCATTCCAAAATTAGTTTGAATCGGATGGAAAATACAAAACCTAGAAGGAATTCAACTAAAAAAGTACTACAATGATTTGACTGTTTAATCAGTGAATTAAGCTGAGAAGTCTTAAAGATTCACCTTTTCAAATATTCTTTAACCTGTGACAAGAATTTCTTCACAAGTAAAAACCTAAAGATTCAAGAAATTGGGACAGACCTGAAATTAAAGATCAAAGATGTCATCTTCTATCGACCAGCCCCTCGCCCATTTGATTGTACTGCATAATTCCAATATATGATTAGAGTTTATTGTAGTGGCTTTTTATTCTACAACCAAGCAAAGGATGCAGTTTCCACTCAAGTCCTAAACTGTTCGACAAGCTTAATCAAGCTGTAGGTCTCAGCATCTGGCCTAGCCCCTCCGAGAATCATTCTTCTTAAAAGGTTGGGATTGTAGACCTTAGCACGAACATAAGCTTTTATTAAGCTGTTGTACACAAATGTATATCTAGTATAGTTAGCTTGCTTAAGCTCTTCAAACAAATTCTCAGCAGTTTCTACATCTCCATTCTCGGCAAACATCTCAAGAATGGACAAGGTAGTCTCCAGCCATGGGGTTGATTTTTTCAACTTGCTACTGGTGAATTGCTTTGACCCCATTTCTATTGTTTTCAATGCTTCCTTGGTCAATCCAGCTTTTAAGCAGCCCAAAGTAAGATGTCTATAGGTTATGGCATTAGGTTTGCATCCAAACATCTTCATCTCTTTAAAAAGACCCGAAACCTTATCAATAAATCCATTCTGGCCATAAACAGATATTATGGAGTTATAATGTTCGGTTGATTTCATAACCTCCCGCGACTTTATCTCTTCCCAAAGTTCCTCAGCACGATTCAGCTGTCCAATCCTACCAAATGCCTCTATTGCCAGCAAAAAGCTCTTTGACCTAACATGAGGGAGACCTTGCACAATGCGCCAGATCCGATCAATCTCCTTTGCCTTCCCCATGTATCCATACAAAATGATGAGGACATCGAATGTTGACCAATTATTGCCTGTTTTCGACTTCTCAACAGCCTCTACATATGTCTCACATCCACAATACAACCTTGCAACTGCATGTGCAGTCGCTAGAATGCAATATGTAACTTCATTTGGTTCAATGTTCGCCCGCTTCATATCCCCAAAAACTTTCATTAGTCCTTCTATGTTATGATCATTAGCTTCAATCTTCAAGAGAATGTTGAAAGTTGAGACATGAGGAGAAACCTTATCTGCCCTCATTTGAGCAAGGATTTTGGGGATCATTTTCCTACGCCTAGGAGAAGAGTGAAGAATAATCAGACGGTTGAAGATCAAGTGAGAGATAGGATGTCCTAATTCTCTCATTTTTTTCATGTACTCTAAAGAAAGCCTGACCACTCCTTTATCCAAGCATGCAATCACAAGATTGTTGTAGAGCAAATCATTCTGGAATTCAACAGGAGTATTAGTAAACAGTCTCTCACCATGAGATATACCATGAAGTTTAATGGTAAATTCCAGTAGATATGAATAATCCAATTCCTTTGGCCTATATGGCTTCTCTCTAATCACCCACTCCATTACCTGTCAAACCATAGTAAAACTTACATTAATGACATTGAGCAGAAGGTACTTCTAAACTTTGTTCTTATTCAACTAATCACCAGCAGTTATCAAACTCATACTCTGTAAGAAAACTCACATCAATGTCAGTTGGCAGAAGCTAAATCTACAATTTGTTTGAAACTTTTACAAATTAGAAGGAATAATCAAACACACAGAAATCACTAACTAGGTGAAAATGCATGCAGTATCACACTCCTAGGGCCAGGCTTGTGTTGAAAAGCAGTTCAGAAAAGAGGTAAACAGCCAAAATTATCCTTCTTTTGTACATTCTTGATGTCTCAGCATATATCATACTTAAGGATGGGTGATTGCATTCAATCCTGTAGTATGATTGAAATGGTTAGTTAGATGCCCTTAATTTTTACAGCAACAACATGAAGTCAGCCATATGATCTTTTCTCAATTCTAGATGATGATAAAAGAAAGCAGAAGTAGCATCCCATAATTTAGCCAATTAATTTTTGAATTCTATATCGGAAAACCAGCAAGGGTCTAATTAACCTCTCAATTATATCAAGATCCTTTCCAACGCCTTTTGCAATTGTAACTTCGCCATCTAAGTGAAGCATAAAGTAGTTTCTACATTAAAGAACATATCCAGATTCAGCTCCTTATTTGTTTCTGGGCTGAATATACTCCTGCCTATCACTCCTTGCAAATTTATGCAAGTTCAATAACTGAAATTCAATGAATATCAGTATATCACATATTATAATACAAGATATAAACTCAATAAGATTAAGCAGATTTAACCAACTTCAACAATGAATATCACATAATAATAATGCAAGATATAAACCCAATAAAATTAAGCAAGAGGGAAAGAGATAAGCGACCTCAAGAGCGCGTTTATGCAACTGGAGCTTCCTCAAACGATTAATGGCATGAAAAATATCACCCCTGTGAACAGGAAAACCTTCACCCATCCATTTCTGAAATACATACCCAATTGATTCTCCTCTTGGAAGCCTCTCTATTCTTAAAGACAACATCTTGGGTGCTTCGTCGCCATTAGAGCTCGAATTCTTCAAACCCAACTCAGATTGCTCACTGATTGTTTGAGTACAGAATGTAAATGGGGCTAATTTGTTGCTCGTTTTCAGAGGCACACCAACTGTTCGATGAAATGCCGCAGTGAGTGAACGCCCTAAAGCAAGGGCGATTACTCTCATATTCGTTAGATGTAAGACCAACCCAGTTCATTGGAGAGGCGTTTCAGGATTTCTACAGAAATTTAACCAGCATTAACGCCTTGTTTAATGTGTCTTTAGCCTTCTTTCTTTTTGAGCTTTAGTTGTGAGAAGTATACGTGAAAAAGAGAAGCTGATGCTTAAATGAATAAAATCCCACCATGTGAAGCCTAGTTTGTTTTTTTTTTTTTTTTTTTTTTTGAATAGCAAATATGAAGCCTAGTTAGAGCTGTCAATTTGGATAAACGGGTCGGCTTTGAGTCGGGTAAGAGTGGGTCGGGTCAATTTGGATTAATTTCATAACTTATGCGGGTCGGTTTGGGTTGGATCATGCTTGAGTCGGGTTACGTCGGGCCATACTTCTTATCATGTTTGGGTCTGGTTAATAACAGGCCGAGTTACATTCGGGTCGGATGAACAATAGGTCGGGTTTAATTCAGGTTTTCACGGGTTAGGATAATTCTCAGGTTCGAGTCGGGTTCGAGTCGGGTTCGATTCAAGTCAATAATTTGCGGGTTAGAATCAGGTCGGGTCATTCTCGGGTTTGCGGTTCAAGTCAATAATTTGCGAATTATAATCAGGTCGGGTCATTCTCGGGTTTAAGTCGGGTTCGGTTCAAGTCAATAATTTGCGGGTTATAATCAGGTTGGGTCATTTCCAAGTCGGGTCATTCTCGGATTCAAGTCGGGTTAAATTCAAGTCAATAATTTGCAGGTTACAATTAGGTCGGGTCATTTCCAAATCAGGTCATATTCGGGTTCAACTAACTATAAATAGATAATTATCATTTTTATCAAGCTAATTATTTACTTTGACTATAATATATATGACAATATACTAGGGAACTATAGTTTATAATTTAAGAAGATAATTATCTCCTTTAACCATACAACAAAAATGTACTATATTTAACTCTTAAATTTGAGGATGATGCTCCTTTCTTTTGCTGGCCTGGACCGACTTGGTCTCCCTAGACAAAATGCTTTGATCAACAATAATAAGGTGGTCTAAAATGCATTTAAGGTGATTTGAAATCAGGTCAGGAACAATTTGGGTTGAATTTAGGTCAGGTCAATAACAAGTCGTGTTGATTTCGAGTCGGGTTAGTAACAGATCAGGTTGAATTTTAGGGTCGGGTAAGTAATAGGTCTGGTAAAATACTGGTCGGGTCAATAACAAGTCAGGTTGAATTTGGGTCAAGTTAATAAAAAGTCGGGTTGATTTCAGGTCGGGTTTGTAATAGGTTGGAATAAATTCGGGTATGGTTAGGAACAGGTCATGTTTAATTCAGGTCAGGTTACTAACAAGTCGGGTTAAATCCGGGTTTTGAAGGGTTAAAACGGGTTAGGGTCAATTTCTCTTCAAGTCGGGTTCGATGAAAGTTAATTAAATTAGTCGTTGTAAACCGGTAAATCGGTGCAAGTTGTAAACCAGTAATTGGTCGTTTAACAGCAAATTGGATGGTTCCACACACTCGATTGGATTCCCGCAGGGTATCAAGGATCAAGGTAAACATTTCGTCAATTTTTATTTCCGGGCAAAAAAAAGTCAAAAAAATCCAAAATTGAAGGCTAATAATATTCACGCTTTTTGAGAAATTTTGGATGTTTCGGGGCCCGATGTCGATAAGTCTTGAAATTCTATGGGATAAATCTTGGGGTCATATAATGCCGTTTGGAAACATTTATGATCATTATATGTTGTCATAAATGTTTGTAGTTTGCTTGAGTTGATGAAATCCGTGCAAGTTGTAAACGGTAAATTGGCCGTTTAAATGTAAATTGGATGGTTCCACCAACCCAATTGGACTTCTAGAGGGTATTAGGGACCATGGTAAAAATTTTCGGCAAATTTTATTTCCGGGCGAAAAAAGTCGAAAAATTCCAAAATTAAGGGCAATATCCACGCTTTTTGAGAAATTTTGGAGGTTTCGGGTTCCGGTGTCAAAAAGTCTTGAAATTTTAGGGGATACATCTTGGGGTCATATAATGCCGTTTGGGACCATATACGATCATTATTTGTTGTCATATATGTTCGTGGTAGGCTTAGCTTGAGTTAATGAAATCGGTGCAAGTTGTAAACCGCTAAATGCAAATTGGATGGTTCCACCCACCCAATGGGACTCCCGGACTGTATTAGGGATCATGGTAAACATTTCGGCAATTTTTATTTCCGGGCAAAAAAATTCAAAAATTTCAAAATTGAAGGCTAATATCCACGATTTTTGAGAAATTTTGGAGGATTCGGGGCCCGGTGTTGAAAAGTCTTGAAATTCTAGGGGATACATCTCGTGGTCATATAATGCCGTTTGGAACTATTTATGATCGTTATATGTTGTCATAAATGTTCGTGGTAGGCTTGATTTAATGAAATCGGTGCAAGTTATAAATAGGTAAATTGGTCGTTTAAAGTCAAATTGGATAGTTCAACCCACCCAATTGGACTCCCGGATAGTGTTAGGGACCATTGTAAAAATTTCGGCAATTTTTATTTCCGGAAGAAAAAAAAGTCAAAAAAATTCAAAATTAAATACTTATTATCAACGCTTTTTGAGAAATTTTGGAGGTTTCGGGGCATGGTGTCGAAAAACCTTGAGATTTTAGGAAATACATCACGGGGTCATATAATGACGTTTTAAACCATATATGATCATTATATGTTGTCATAAATATTCATGGTAGGCTTGATTTAATGAAATCGGTGCAAGTTGTAAACCGGTAAATTGGTCGTTTAAAGGCAAATTGGATGGTTCCACCCACCCAGTTGGACTTCCGAAGAATATTAGGGACCATGGTAAACATTTCGGCAATTTTTATATCTGGGCAAAAAAAATTTATATCCACGTTTTTTGAGAAATTTTGAATGTTTCGAGGCCCGGAGTGGAAAAGAATTGAAATTTTAGGGGATACATCTCGGGGTCATACAATGCCGTTTGGAACCATTTATGATCATTATATGTTGTCATAAATGTTCGTGGTAAGCTTGATTTAATGAAATCGGTGCAAGTTGTAAAACGATAAATTGGTCGTTTAAAGGCAAATTGGAAGGTTCCACTCATCCAATGACTCCTGAACAGTATTAGGGATCATGGGAAACATTTCGACAATTTTTAATTTCGGGAGAAAAAAAGTCAAAAATTACAAAATTGAAGGCTAATATCCACACTTTTTGAGAAATTTTGAAGGATTCGGGGCCTGGTGTCGAAAAGTCTTGAAATTCTAAGGGATATATCTCGGGGTCATATAATTCCATTTGGAACCATTTATGATCATTATATGTTGTCAAAAATGTTCGCAGTATAAATCTGTGCAATTTGTAAACCGGTAAATTGGCCGTTTAAATCCACCAATTCAATTAGAATCCTAGAGTGTATTAGGGACCATGGTAAACATTTCAGAAAAATTTATTTCTGAGCGAAAGAAGTTAAAAAATTCCAAAACTAAAGACTAATATCTACGTTTTTTGAGAAATTTTGGAGGTTTCGGGGTCCAGTGTCGAAAAGTCTTGAAATTCTAGGTGATAAATCTCGGGGTCATATAATGCCGTTTGAAACCATATATAATCATTATTTGTTGTCATAAATGTTCGTGGTAGGCTTCAATTAATGAAATCGGTGCAAGTTTAACCGGTAAATTGGTTGTTTACAGGAAAATTGGATGGTTTTGCCCACCCAATTAGACTCCCGGAGGGTATTAGGGACCATGATAAACAATTCGGCAATATTTATTTCCGTGCGAAAAAAAAGTCAAAAAAATAAAAAATTGTAAGCTAATATCCACGTTTTTTGAAAAATTTTGAAGGTTTCGGGTCCCAATGTAGAAAAGTCATGATAATTTAGGGATACATCTTGGGGTCATATAATGCCGTATAGAATCATATATGATCATTATATGTTGTAATAATTTTTCGTAGTATGCTTATGTTAATGAAATCCGTGCAAGTGATATAAACTGGTAAATTGACTTTTAAAGGCAAATTGGATGGTTCCACCAACCCAATTGGACTCCCGGAGAGTATTAGAGACCATGGTAAACATATCGACAATTTTTATTTTCGGGCGAAAAAAGTCAAAAATTCCAAAATTGAAGACTTAATATTCATGCTTTTTCAGAAATTTTGGAGGTTTCGGGCCCTGTGTCGAAAAGTATTAAAATTTTAGGGATACATCTCGGGGACATATAATGTCGTTCGAAACCATTTATGATAATTATTTGTTGTCATAAATGTTCGTGGTAGGCTTGAGTTAATGAAATCGGTGCAAGTTGTAAACCGGTAAATTGGTCGTTTAAAGGCAAATTGGATAGTTCCACCCACCCAATGTGACTTTCGGACGATATTAAGGATCATGGGAAACATTTCGTCAATTTCTTTTTCCGGGCGAAAAAAAAGTCAAACTTATCAAAATTGAAGGCTAATATCCACGCTTTTTGAGAAAATTTTGAAAGTTTCGAGGCCCAGTGTCGAATAATCTTGAAATTCTAGGGGATACATCTCGGGGTCGTATAATGCCGTTTAGATCCATTTATGATCATTATTTGTTGTCATTAAATGTTCGTGGTAGGCTTGAATTAATGAAACCGGTGCAAGTAGTAAACCGGTAAATTGGTCGTTTAAAGGCAAATTGGATGGTTCCAGCCACCCAATGGGACTCCCGTTCGGTATTTGGGATCATGGGAAACATTTCGGAATTTTTTTTTACGGGTGAAAAAAAGTCAAAAATTTCTAAATTGAAGGCTAATATCCACACTTTTTGAGAAATTTTGGAGGATTATGGTGTCGGTGTCGAAAAGTCTTGAAATTTTAGGGGATATATCTCGGAGTCATATAATGCCGTTTGGAATCATTTATGATGATCATTATATGTTGTCATAAATGCTCGTAGTATGCTTGAATTAATGAAATCCGTGCAAGTTGTAAACCGGTAAATTGGCTGTTTAAATGTAAATTGGATGGTTCCATCAACCCAATTGGACTCCTAGCGGATATTAGGGACCATGGTAAACATTTCAGCAAATTTTATTTTCAGGCGAAAAACGTAAAAAAATTCCAAAATTGAAGACTAATATATCCACGCTTTTTGAGAAATTTTGAAGGTTTCGGGTTCCGGTGTCGAAAAGTCATGAAAATCTAGGACATACTTCTCGGGGTCATATAATTCCGTTTGGAACCATATATGATCATTATTTGTTATCATAAATGTTCGTGATAGGCTTGAGTTAATGAAGTCGGTACAAGTTTTAAACTGGCCTGGTAAATAATTGGTCGTTTAAATTTAAATTGGATGGTTCCACCCACCAAATGGGACTCCCAGACTGTATTAGGGATCTTGGTAAACATTTTAGCAATTTTTATTTTCGAGCGAAAGAAGTCAAAAATTTCAAAATTGGAGGCTAATATCCACGTTTTTTGAAAATTTTTGGAGGATTCGGGGCCCGGTGTTGAAAGGACTTGAAATTTTAGGGGATACATCTCGGGGTCATATAATGCCGTTTGGAACCATTTATGATCATTATATGTTGTCATAAATGTTCGTGGTAGGCTTGATTTAATGAAATCGTTGCAAGTTGTAAACCGGTAAATTGGTCGTTTTAAGTCAAATCGGATAGTTCAACCCACCCAATTGGACTTCCGGATTGTACTAAGCACCATGTTAAAAATTTCGACAATTTTTATTTTCGGGGGGAAAAAAAGTCAAAATTGCAAAATTGAATTCTTATATCCATGTTTTTTGAGAAATATTGGAGGTTTCGGGGCATGGTGTCGAAAAGCCTTGAGATTTTAGGGAATACATCACGGGGTCATATAATGACGTTTGAAACCATATATGATCATTATATGTTGTCATAAATATTCGTGGTATGCTTGATTTAATGAAATCGGTGCAAGTTATAAACCGGTAAACTGGTCGTTTAAAGGCAAATTGGATGGTTCCACCCACCCAATTAGACTCATGAAGGATATTAGGGACCATGGTAAACATTTAGGCAATTTTTATATCTGGGCGAAAAAAAGTCAAAAAATTTTAAAATTGAAGACTAATATCCACGCTTTTTGAGAAATTTCGAATGTTTCCGGGCCCGGTGTCGAAAAGCATAGAGATTTTAGGGGATACATCTCGGGATCATATAATGTCGTTTGGAACCATATATAATCATTATTTGTGGTCATAAATGTTTGTAGTAGGCTTGAGTTAATGAAATCGATGCAAGTTGTAAACCGGTAAATTGGCCGTTTATAGGCAAATTGGATGGTTCCACTCACCCAATTGGACTACCGGAGGATATTAGTGACCATGGTAAAAATTTAAGCAATTTTTATTTTCAGGCAATAAAAAGTCGTAAAATTCCAAAATTGAAGGCTAATATCCACGCTTTTTGAGGATTCGCGGCCTGGTGTCGAAAAGGTTTGAGATTTTAGGGGATACATCTCGGGGTCATACAATATTGTTTTAAACCATAAATGATCATTTTATGTTGTCATAAATATTCGTGGTAGACTTGAGTTAAAGAAATCGGTGCAAGTTGTAAACCGGCAAATTCGCCTTTTAAAGGTAAATTGGATGGTTCCACCCACCTAATCGGACTCTCGAAGGGTATTAGGGACCATACACATTTCGGTAATTTTTATTTACAGGCAAAAAAAAGTCAAAAAATTCCAAAATTTAAAGCTATCATCAACCCTTTTTGAGAAATTTTTGATATTTCGGGTCCAGCTGTCTAAAAGTCTTGAAATTCTAGGGAATACATATCGTGGTCATATAATGTCGTTTGGACCCATATATGATTATTATTTGTTGTCATAAATTTTCATTTGAGTTAATGAAATCGGTGCATGTTGTAAACCGGTAAATTGGTCATTTAACGACAAATTGGATGGTTCCACCCACTCAATTGGACTATCGGGGGGTATTAGGGACCATGGTAAACATTTGGCAATTTTTATTTTAGTGCGAAAAAAGTCAAAAAATTCCAAATTTAAGGCTAGTATCCATGTTTTTTGAGAAATTTTGGAGGTTTCTGGGCTCGGTGTCGAAAAGTCATTAGATTATAAGGGATACATCTTGGGGTCATATAATTCCATTTGGAACTATATATGATCATATGTTGTCACAAAAGTTTATGGTAGTTTTGAGTTAATGAAATCAGTGCAAGTTGTAAACCGGTAAATTGGCCGTTTAAAGGCAAATTGGATGGTTCCACCCTCCCAATTGGACTCCCGGAGTATATTAGAGACCATGGTAAACATTTCGGCAATTTTTTTCTGGGCGAAAAAAAGTCAAAAAATTCATAAATTGAAGGCTATTTCTACGTTTTTTGAGTCTTCGGGGCCCGGTGTTGAAAAGTCTTAAAATTCTAGGGAATACATCTCGGTGTCATATAATGTCGTTTGGATGCATATATGATCATTATTTGTTGTCATAAATGTTCTTGGTAGGCTTGAATTAATGAAATCGGTGCAAGTTGTAAACCGGTATATCGATCGTTAAAAGGCAAATTGGATGGTTCCACCCACCCAATTGGACTCCCGGTTCGGCAATTTTTATTTTCAGGTGAAAAAAAGTCAAAAAATTCCTAAATTGAAGGCTAATATCCACGCTTTTTGAGAAATTTTTAGAGATTTCGGACTTGTAGGTGAAACAAAACTTTCTGCGAAAGTATTGTGAATTTTTTTCATTTGTTTCTTTATGAAAATGATGTTAATTTTTTACCTTTTTTTTTTTCTTCAAGGTTAGGTAATTTGTAAAGTTACTGTAATTTTTAAAATAATCAATAGTCCTTCACTCCTTCAAACTCTGCTTACCGATTTGTAACCACCTTGTTTGTTGCTTTGTTTAACTAAATATGGTGAAATTATTGACTTTATTTTTGTACAAGTCTTGGCATAAACAATTGTATTGACTAAAGCTAAGGGTGGTTAGCCTATATCGATTATATATCTAATTTACTGTATTATTTCTTTTTATTCAATTATGTTTTGATAGCCCCCAAATTTTTTAGTCAATTCCAATGATTTTTGGTGGCTAACATGAATGATGTGAAATTGTCAAATGTTCTGAGCATAAAATATGAATATAGCTCCACTGAAATTGTCTCTTGGCTACAAAATCACCTGTTATATTTTAAGTTGTACCAATGTTCAAGCTTTTATAAAGACTAGAAGGAAGATCACACAAACAGTAGAAGTTTATAAATATATGCCAATAGTTTATGAAACAGAATAGGCAAAATACAAATTCAAATTAGATTCTTTTAATTCAGCAATCAGTATTACACACAGTAAGAAATCCATGGACCATGAAACATCAACAGATTTAGTTATACACTGGATCTGGTTATGCCATGGCCCATTTATTCAGTTCACAGCACAATCATTTTTGACAAGTAAGCAAATCACACATATCCATAACACAGGATGGCAGGCAAGTTTAATCGCAGTTGCATGGGTCACAGCTGCAGTCGTCTCCACAGCCACACTCAGTCCTTCCGTACATCCTGCAAAATGAGTACGAATCAGCATATTATTCACGCAAACAAATTTTGTTTCTTAGACATTCAATTTTCTTAGAAGAACATCATTATACACAACCTAAAATTGAGTGGCCAATCAAGATACATGACAAGTATTTCAACGAGCAAGAGCTAATCAGTAATCGCTGGCTAGGAAGCAGCACACACAAACAGTCTGACCAATGGAGTTCAGGCCAGAGATCTATTGTCCAAACCCAGACCAATGAAACCAGGTCAGACTTTGTGCAGCATTCCATCAAGCTTATGAATATTTGCTCATCCTTTAATGCAAAATCAACACGAGTATTAACTCATGTTAGCCAACAAAGCAATTAAGTTAAAGGCCTAGGTGTACTAATACTTGAAAGTTTTTAGCATGAATGTTCAGAGTCTTCAGACTCCAATAATAAAGAAGGGAATATACCTGTTGCAGTTGCAGTCGTCACAGCTGCAGTTGTCACCACATCCACAGTTTCGGGCCATTTTCTTTCTTGGAGATTGCTGGTTACAATTGGGAAGAGATGTTGCAAAAGATTGATTTAAGAGCAATGCAGTTTGTTGGTGATTCAGAATGATTAATATTGACAACTATATATAGAAAATAGGAGGCAACATAGGATAGTTTCAATCATACACGTCTAAGAATCCTGGCCTTTCAAAATGTCAACTGACCCCAAGATGTTACCTTTCACACATCAATGTTGCACAAGTAATGAAGAGTAAGTCTTAGAATATTTTACAAACGTAGGGGAAGAAATGGTCGGCAGAGCTATAAATATTCTAACAGAAAAAATCTGTTGTACACATTTCTTACCATATCTGTAATTGAATATTTAGATGTGTAAATGACTTGTGAAAAGCATTTTAAAAAATTAAACTTATAAACTGAAGCAATTGACTCTAGCTACAAGTTTTATATGTTCTTTACAAATCTAGAAACCTCTAGATTTAACTCTAACACAACCAGAATCTTTTGCACCAGAGCTGCACAATTATTATGAATTAAATAAGTTAAGTATCCCACAAAAGTAATATCCAGGTTGATAAACTCAATTACAAGAATATAATATCAAGTGATGTTGCTTTTAAAATAATCAAAGTCAAAACATAGAATTATTCTAACTCAATCTTCTGATACAACGTAACTGTCATAAAACAGCATGAAGCATGCTTCTTTGCAATTTGAGATTGAAAATTCTGTATACAAGTCCCAAATATAAGAGAATTTTGAAATGCTTTTATCCATTATTAGTAAAATTGTCATAAATTATTGGTTTGATGTGGCAATAAAATATCTTTCATTTTGAAAAATCCAAATACATAATTAGCTAATCTTAAGCTCCATCAGAAAAATAAAAAGAAAGAAAGATAGAGATATATAACAGATCTGCCCCTTCTCCTCTAGCAAACAAGTTACAAGATCAACTATGCTACTTTGTTTAAGCAGGGCAATTCCCCTATGAGCATGTCTTGGGTGAAGCTACTTCACAATATACCATAATATAGTTAGAGTCAGCCTCTCTCACAATATGTTAGTGTGTGACCATCTCATCCTAGACTTGGCTTTTCGCCTGTTCATACAGAAACAAATTTTTGAGCTGTGCTCAATGCAATTTTTTTTTTTTGCTGTCTTTAAGAGCAGCAGCCACATATGCTAGATTTTGGTCCTTGCTAGAAAATGCATATAAAAACCATGAATCTCATAAGCACACTAAAAATTAAGATCAGAAGCTATAGTGCTGCTTTTTGTAAGGCTATGTAGTTCTATACAGCAATTACAATTTTATACACGTATTATGGTAAACATCAGAAACTTGACCTGATACAACAATTCAGGTGTATAACCAGAATACTTGTTGCAGAGCACATAATGAGAATTTACGAACCTGAACAAAAACTTCTAGCACAATCACCAATTACTAGAACAAGCACTGTTTCATTAAAATCTGTCGATCAAAGCTCCCAAATATTGCATTATGTTCACAACTAAACCTTTGCCCCACACCACAAAAGAAAAACAAATGTGAGAAACTATGTGTAAGAAACATAAGCAGAATCATTCTAGATCTATCAGGTGCAAAAGTATCATATACAGACTCTCAAAATGAGACTAAACCCACTGCCACAATAGCCTTACGACATCAGCCACAACTCATTATAGTTAAAATTTTCATGTGCAGTCTCAAGGTTGTAATATGTTAATCAAAGTAAGGTTGGCTCTGGAGTCTGGATGTAGACACCAAAAGAACGCACTTACAAGTCTTTGACATTTTCACAAGGCCCACATCAGAATACCAGCTAGCCTTGGCTCAGACAAACCAACACTTAGGTTAGGCTGATATTTATCATGGGATTTTAATACAGTCATTCTTACCAAAACCATATATACATGCTACTCAAACAATCAACAGCAATCAATTGGATTATCTCCAGAGAGAGCTCAGAACAAGGGAGTCTCTGCTTTCAAAGGGATTTCACTTTCTACTTGACAGATATGAGTAAACACAACCTGCAGCACAAGACTTGACTCACTTGATGAATCAACCACATCACCAATATAATGACCTTGGTAACAAAAAAAAAGGAATCATCACTTTGAAAAAGTGAACCAAAAAAAAAGAAAAAGAGCTTATGTACTACTTTGTCCCAGCAACAGGTTTAGTCTTTAAGGCTCCATGTCTTCAACATTTGTCTACTTCATTTCTTTATTTTAGTCCACTATTATGATCATTATCTAATGTCCATCATTCAAGAGTAAGGCTTTCATTCGAGCAACAAATGTGAAGAACATTATCTTGTGTCTAAGAGGTGATAACAAATAATTAGCCAGCAGAACACCGGGTGGGAAATGAGTACTCTCATACTCTCATTTCATAATTCCACATATTAAAACCTAATTAATCAGTCACTCCATCCTAGCACTTATTACAACACATTGTTCAGTTAGTCAACAGAATCATGGCTTAACAGTTTTCCATCATACCATGTGTCTCGAAGTCTAATATGGCATTTATATGACTTCTCAGTCATGAAAACTCAAGATTCACCTAATGTTTACTACAATATGCTTCTGATTCAACAAATCCAAAACTTTTTTTTTTTATTGACAACCAAGAAAACAACAAATAATAAACTCAAACATAAGAAACTCAATGTAAAAGGATTGCTATGATCTAGTGTTTAATTTTAGTCTACAGACAGCAACTTCCACATTAATTGATAGATACAGATAGATACAGTAACAATATAAAATACAATGTCAAAATGGTGAGAAATTTCCTATAAGTTCTATATCAGGCAAGCAACTGAACTTTTTTAATCAGGCTCATCATGCAAGTACAATATCTAAAACTAGTATTAAACCAAACATAAGACAGAAGTAGTTGTTATAGCATTTGTTAGCTACCATATATACACTTACGCTTAAATGTTAGTTACGTTAGCTACTTGGGGTTTAACTATCGAAGCACTGGTTTTAGAGCAAAACTAATATAATGATTTTTACCCTAAAAAAGTCAATCAACCCCATGAGCTGCATTTTTCAGCTTAGCCAAAACAGGGTGTAATTAGTTGCTGAAGAGTAAAAATAAAAACAAGAAGAGGACTTCAATAAGAACAGGAAATAAAAGGCAGCTACAAGCTAGCTAGCATGGTGTCATTCCCTCAAAAATTGAATGATATTGCAGTAGTGCTTAGTGTACTAGTTTGCGCCCTTTATAACCTTTATAACCTTGTAATTTGAAGAGCTGAAAACTATCATTTGGCTAATCTTTTCAGAAGAATTATTGAATCATGCTATGTTTTTTTTTTTTTTTTGGATCACTACATAATCTACATAAATTCAGAAGCTCAAAATCCTGAATCGGATTTGTATACATACTTCTATTGTAGCACACCCACCTTTAACCATTAGGCCGTTTTTGAATCTACCTTTACAAGTTGTACTGAATCACAATTACACCATGAATTATCACAACTCCACAAGGTTAATGAAAGAAACCACAGCTTAATGCTAAAAAAGGATATTGCCCCTAATGAGGTGGTTTGTATTTTCACAATTTATAGACAATGCATACTAAAATCCTAAGTATACACAACTAAGGAAACATAAATAGTTTTTTTTACAATTTTTAATTTGGTATTACTACCCAAACAAAGAAGCTAATACAGTAAATCACATTTGCATGGAGATTAGAACATCAGCTGCTGCAGGTCAGTTCAAATAGATTAGCCTTCAACATCCAAGAGACACTACAACTGCAAATAATTAAGAAGTGTGTTGAGCTAAATGAATTCCATATGATAGGTAGCAGGCGTTATAGGAAGGAGCAAGAACTACTATCAAGGATACATACCTAAGAAATTAGACAAATTTGTAAGCACGTTTGGCTGAATCAAGAGTATTGGAGAGCAGCATGGAGATTGTTACAGGTCCCAGCCCACCCGGAACAGGGGTGATTATAGATGCCACCTTTACAGTTTCTTCAAAACATACATCACCCGTTAAGTGGAATCCATGTTCCCTGTCTGGATCCTACAATCAAAGAATTATTCAGTGCATCAAATAAACATTGTAAGCAAATATCAGCTACAACCTGTCTTATTTCTTTTGGAACAATGTGCCTTAAAATAAAGATTGCCTTAACTGATAAACAAGCCTTTCATATCAGATTTAAAGCTAATAATTACAAGACCACACTTGGTTTTAATGGAAACAAAATAATGCATTTGTTTTAAGTTTTCTGTAGGATGTAGCAAAGTTTTTACCTTAACTGCATTGGTTCCTGTATCTATAACAACAGCGCCTGGTTTTAACCAATTGCCTCTAACCATGTTTGGCACACCTACGTCTGTAATGACTATATCTGCCTCACGGGTTATTTCTTGTGGATTCTTGGTGAATGAATGCACAACACTCACAGTGGCTTGGTGCCTCTTCAAGACATATCGAAAAAAAAACATTGCACAATAAAAATTCTGCTCTTAAAAGAAACATAAAATAGACTAGTCATATGTGATAAGTACCTGCAGCAATAATGAAACAGGCAATCCAACAATTTTGCTTCGCCCTATCACAACCGCATTCTTTCCAGAGATTTCAGTACCAGACCTCAACAACACATCAATACAGCTTTTGGCAGCACATGGAACAAATAAGGGCTCCCGCCCCTTTATGGCAAGACATCCCATATTCAAGGGATGAAAACCATCAACATCCTTTTCGGGATTAATAACATCCATAATCTTCTCCTCATCCAAATGCTAAGCAAAAAAATGTCAGCTAGTTACAAACACAGAAACCAGGAAATGATAAATGCCACAGCAAACATTACTGGCACAATTAAAAAATTACTTCTGGAAGAGGAAGTTGCACAAGGACACCATGAACTGATGGATCTTTATTTAGACTTGACACAACATGAAGGGCTTCATCTTCTGTACAGTCAGCATGCAACTCAACAACGGACGAAGAGATTCCAACTTCATTACAAGCTTTTATCTTGGTGCGGACAAAAGAGTGAGAATCATCTCTTTCACCCACCAAAACAATAACCAAACAAGGTTGTTTCCCAACAGCATCCTTCATCCTCATAATATCACTGGCTACTTGTGACTTAATTATTGCGGCAATAGACTTCCCATCAATGATTTTAGCAATCGGACCATCAAATCCCTCTTTGACGGAAAAGCAGGGAAAGAATCTACGCCCTAAAACCAGTATATTCAAAATGCATAATCAGCACAACACATACTTATTGAATAACAAGCAATCAACCAACACTAAGAAACTGACTTTACAAAGGCCTATTTTCTTTAAATGAAGGGATAGTACTTTCTATCTATAATCGTACTTCTTGAAATGAACAAAACAAAAGTAGTTATGAAATCTATGTGTTTACACGGGATTCAAATTGCATCAATTCACATGAAAATTTACCCAAATTAAAACACGCTCTAATTAAAGGATGATTTAGAAAATTAAGATTAAACATGCCAAAGAGGCAAAGATCGTTGGTTTAAGCACACAGTAGGCAGCCAAGGTTGCTTATAATCAATCAGCTAACAAAAAATGTCAAATGAACCTAACTAAATACTACGTACTCCCTCTGTCCCTATATTTTTGCCCCATTTAACTTTTCACGGTCACTAAAACGCGTTTTAAGTATATATTTTCATTTTTTTACACGTAAGAATTATAAAAATGCGATAATTTAACAAAATTCCACATGAATATATTATCTCTTATAGATTGACGGTAAAACTACGGTCAAAGTTTCCAAAATTGACCCAAAAAATAGCAATAGGGCAAGAATAAATGGGCGGATAGAGTAGTAATACTAAATGTGGACATTCTGGAGCCCTCTAAAGAGAAAAGGATAAACCAAATTACATGTTTCAATAGAGAGAAAGAGATATTACAGTGAGGTTTAGTGGAAGGTAATGAGCAGGTGCTAGAAGGCCATGCATCAGGAAGGTCAAACCCCAGATGACTGAGTCTAGCAGGTTGATGTGACCTGTTGCAGTCATCACAACTGAAATTGTCCCCGCATCTACAATATCCCAGGGCCATCTTCTGATCTTCTTTCTCAGAGAATGCAGACTCTGATGGAGAAGAGAGGTTGCAGTGTTGCACGACAGCAAAACAATGATTTACAAGAAGTATAGTTTGAACTTTGAAGATGACCCAGAATGATGAACACTGACACCTGTTTATAGAATGTAGGAAGCATCAATCTTCATAAGATTACTCCTTATAATCCAAGAATCCTGGCCTTTCACAATGTCAACTGTACCCGAAATAGTCCCCTTCACGCATATCTCTGTCAGCATTGGGTAATTCAACGTTGGTCTTGAGTATTATACATATTTAGGGAAAGAAATTGGTCGGCTGTGCTCAAAATACAATTTCTTAAAGACTTGACTAGTTGACTTGCCTCCATACACGTTTCTTGCCATAGATGTTATTTTGTAACACTTCTCCTCTACACGTGATTTAGTTCAGATTACACCATAAATGTGAAAATAAAAATGCATCCAAAGGAATACTGACAGCTACCTGTTACTCGGAGCCAACACAGCTCAATTACAGTAGTAGCTCATTTCGGCTGCTTGAGGTGGGCTTTCCATGGGCTGGTGCAGAGATGAGCTTTGTGTGGTGGGTTTGAGTTGTTGCTGAGTCCTGTCTATATTACTCCATTAGATCACAGAGAGATCATCTTGCTAGGATTGTGGGCAAGCAGTATGCGTGAACCGGAGATTTCCAAATATTAAAGCAATCTGGCAACTTGGCAAGGAACCTTGGTTTCCTACAGACATCAGGATACCTAATTAGGAAATAACAGGTGTTACGGCCCTAAATAAATTACTTTATAATAATATTAAGTGTGTCTGTTTTTTTGGATAAACTGGATTAATTGGGAAATAACGTGTTGGTTAACATGTTCAATGATATGTATTTAGAAGTAAACTTCTGAATTACACAACATATACTAAACACCAGACATCTGCATACAAATGATATGTATTTAGAAGTAAACATCTGAATTACACAACATATACTAAACACCAGACATCTGCATACACATAAAGAGAAGGGCCATGCTTCTGAAACTACAGCTGGGCACTGTAAAAAACTTCTATTAAGTAAGTTCGATGGCAGAATCAGTACATTAACATTGATAAAAGAAAACAGAACAGAAACATTCCGTAGCTAAAATATCAATCCAGAACAACATTGATAAAAGAAAACAGAACAGAAACAGTAGGTACCTAAAGCTTCGATCCAGAACAATGTTGATAAAAGAAAACAGAACAGAAACAGTAGGCCATGTAGTCTCCTTTACATTGACCCAGTCCCAGAAGGCACACTCACAGCCATGGCCTTAATCCTCGGCCTCATAAATCATAGCTCATCATAGTTACATTTAGCCTTGAGGATGTATAGGCAGAGACCATAGTGACCAATTTAAGGTTGCCTCTGGATATAGCACCCAAAATAGTGCTTTTGCTAGCTCTGGCATTCCCACAAAGCCCACATTGAACCCTTTCAACCACAACCATGAGGCTGGCCTCCGACTCAGACAAGCCAACTCATAGGGACCTTTAAACTTTCAAAGTACCCATTCCAATCAAAACCACAATTCATGTCAGGTGTCTCCTAACCGACACACTAGGTAAAGCATCTACGATTACATCATCAGTCAGCAGCAATTATTTGCTGCTCTTCATCAAAATGTTCAACATTATACAGTATTTTTTTTCCCAGTCTCCTGCAACTCTTATCAACTTCCACATCACTATCACCTAGCATGCTTTAATAATGTTATTTTTAGTCAAATTGCAAAACTGAAAGCAAAAGTAATAAATTATACATGTACTTTGTATTAAATGGAAGAAGTATAGTTTAAATTTACAAGATCATTTTGAAAATACATAGGACCTCTCTCCTACAAAGTAGCTGCAAGTCTGCAACAGAGTTCAGGAACAACCATTATCACCAGAGCCAAGGAGACTTTTGACATACTGCTTTTTCAAATAGACGGGACAATTAAAAAAAATATTGAGCTTATTTGGTTGAGCGGTTAAAATATTTGCTGCCTCCAAAGCCTCAGCTGGGGTTAAACCATCTAACTTCAATAGTTCACCCAAGACTTTGTTACACTTATCCGCTATATCTTGCTCACGGTCATCAGCACGAGACCAAACCTTAGCCATGGTAGAAAGATGGGCATTCATATCTTTCATGAAATTCTGCAAGCATGCTAACTCTAAACCACTGGAGCACTGAGCCACATTATCACTTCCTTTTTTCTTAGAAGTCTTGTCTCTTTTCACCTTCTTCAACGGAGGAGCAAATTCCGTAGTTAGGATTCCACTACCACCCACATCATCATCACTTGATTCAATGTAAACTTGCGCAACTTCCTCTTTATCCATGTCGTCTACAGCATCTAGAAAACCCTCGGCAGGCTTTCCAGTAGCAAAATCCTTACCATAGATCTCCATCATAACATGCAAGTGAGGGAAAGACACTCCATACAGATTTTTGCAAGTAGGATGCGCCTAGGGGAGAGAAAGACAGCATATATATTAGAAGAAAAGTTGAGATTAGATTCATGCCTATACAAAAAAATAAATTAAAAAAGTTCACCTTGCAATATTCTTCATACACTGATCTCTCCACACATATCATGTGCTTCTTCTCATCCCATTTGAATCCCTTTGTTGCCAACATTTGAAGGATAGCTCTAAATTTGCCCACAAGAGTTTTTAATCTAGAATCAATGTGAGGAGAAGCTTTAAGCCCACAACCTGGAACTGACTTTCCTATCATCTCCTCCAAGCGAATCATATAGCCATTTCTAAATCCATAATCACATTTCCAACGTGAATCGGTGGATAATTCATGCAATGCGTCAATGAGAGCCTTGTCTTCTTCACTATTCCAAAATCGCTTGTTTCTACCCCTTCGACTACGAATTGCACTAATACTTTCATCCATCCTATTATAAGAATCAAAGGTAATGAAATGTGCAAAATCCAACGTAATCAAACAGAAAAAAGCCAAAGGTCATAGTTCAAATAGCACAATATAACATCCAACAAAACATGATAATCAAAATAAGGCATCAATAAAACAACAAACTACTACAAGTTTAAACCAAGAGCATCCAATACAAAATAGTATAGTCACTCTCCATGGCCTCCAGCTTGCCAACTGTTGAACATAGTTTGAGCCAATGAATTTCTAAAATTGGTCCAAGGAATTAATGTATCAATAGAACTTATATATTCAACCTCACTGTCTTCATCATCATCGCCACCACCATCACCATCATCATTCTCATCATCAGATATGTCTTCAAATATAGAACCAGGAGGCATGTATCTCTTTATTAAGTTATGCAATAAACAACATGCCAAAACAATACGACCATGAGTTTTTAAACTAAACCAAGAAGGGCTTCTAAGAATCTTCCATTTTCCCTTAAGTAACCTGAAGCATTGTCTCGTCACGTTTCTAGCCATTGCATGTCTTAAGTTGAAATTCTCTTCCACGCTTTGTGGTTGGTGAGACCCATTGTTCCACTCACTAAGATTATAAGGATGTCCTTTAAACGGTGCAAGGAATCCCTCTCCACTATATCCAGCGTTACACAGATAGTAACAACCTTTGCACATAAAAAATGAATTTAAAAAAAAAACATATATTACGTACTCATCTTTATAGTATTTGACTTGAAAAAATATTACTTTCAATTACTTTACCTTGTGGAGCAACTAACCCATTAGGCCTAGAAATAGCATCACATAGTACCCGACCATCATCTACTGAACCCTCCCATCCAGGTAACACGTAAATAAATTCCATATCAGGTGAGCATGCTCCTAAGACATTCATAGCAATGCTACCTTTTCGTGTTCGATATTTAGATCGATCATCAGGAGGTACACTTACACTAACCAATGTGCAATCAACTGCACCTACACAATTCTACAAAACAAATAAAACTTTTTAGATAACGTGATGGCAGTATCGTTGTTTTCTAAAAATGAGATTGCATTTGTAATACCTTGAAAAACTTCCACTTATCATCACACTTATCATCACTGCAATCTTCTGTTACAGATGAAGGTTTCTTAAGCAACTCAGTGTGCAGCTTTAACACAGCCTTTAAGCACAAATGAAACTGCCTACTCACAGTTTCACCACTTCTGTAAAAGTAAGCACCAACATATCTATTCGTCTTGTGGTGAGCTAATATATACAAGAAAATCGCAACAATCTCCTCCACACTCATGTGTCTTGTCCGACTCAAACCACCAATCCCCTTAACCATCTCACAAAGTTTATTAAAAGTAAAACGATCCATACGAAGATGTTTCCTACACACATCATCACTCTCTCCTATAAACCTATTTAAATTACTCAATCTCAATCTCCTTCTCATCCTCTTCTTTCCTTCCAATCGTTGTGAATTATTCGACACCTCTTTCATTGAGTACCGCATCATATAAACCAAAACCACAACATTAATCATGAGTATAACATATTGAAGGAACTCCAATTCTCTTCTCCTTTTCAAGGAAAGACCACGTCGAGCCATTTCTGTGCATATATTATAAATTAAATCATGCAAAAACCACACTACATGCTGTAAAAATAAAACAATAAGATACTTATAGGGTCCTAAATCCTAACCATGTGCTATACACCACAACAAGAATTTCTTTCTTTGAATACACGAATACACTCATCAATCCACCATTAAACAAAACAAGGAGTCCATAATCATTGACCATATCATATCATACAAATTATATCAAACAAATACATTACAATCTTGCAGCTAACAAACTTTGCAAATTTCATGTTACACCAACAACAACAACAACAACAACAAAAAAGAGATAAGACATTTTTCAGAATCATTACTTAAAACCAAAATAAAATAGAAATTAAAAAATAAGGGCTAAAGATTTGAACTTTTTCACAATAATTGTCAAAACAATAACACAAAAAATAGAAATCAAAGAATATGGCTTGAGTAGATGAGTGTCGAGGTTAATCAACAAAAAAGGGGGAAAATTTTATACCTTGACAATCTGCAGTTGATACCAAAAGTTCGCCGGAATTTTGCCGGAAACCACCAAGTTTAACCTGACGAAACGGAGGAGAGAGAAAGAGAAAAGAAGGGGTTAGAGAGAGAAATGTTGTGTGAAAGAAGATGGGGAAAATTAGGTACCGCCGTGCCGGAGATCTGCCGGAGGTAAGGACGACGGCTAGGGTTTGAGTGAGAGAGTTAGAGGTTGTAGAATTGAGGCGAATGAGGGAATTCAAGTCTGGCGGCGTTGGAATTACGCCGTACGATACAAGGGTTTGGGGGAACTCCAAAAATGAATTGGGGAAATGGAATTAACAACAATAGTCAACCAAACGGCTTCAAGGTCACACACTTACACACTTGGATTTTTGGGTTGGGCTATTTCAAATCGTGTTATATGTGGGTGATGAGTCATTTGATTTGGTTTTGATCGGTCCAATACTATGTGTTATACTTCGTAACTGTTATCCTTCATACTCTTATGAAGTGGTGCAAATTATTAGTGTGTATAAAAATTATTTGTATTCCGTATAAGTTGGTATTATACACAAAAACATGTGTTTTAGGTAAACGTCAAATCTTGTTATTTCAAAAAAAAAAAAAAAAAAAAAAAAAAAAAAAAGTAGTTTTTATTAGCTTTGTCACTTAATCATGCACAATCCAATTCTATCAAGTCCAATTTGGATAACTCATTAACAAAATAGTGTCCAAAAGGTGGAGGTTAAAGAAATAATCCTTTGTTATTCATTTGTTATATGCAAACTAAAACTTAATATGCGTAATAAATATGGTGATTGTGTTCCTAATAGTGATAGGTTATATTATGCATCCAAAAGCATATATGTTGCTGCCACTTTTAGGTTCAATAAACTAACCAGCCTTTACTAATCAAGATTTATCAACATGAATTTCAAAAATTGAATTTGAATGATGTATGATACCGGAGTACATTAATTATGTGTACTAGATGCATCATGTATGAATTACCTGCATTGTCTATCTTTAATGAAGTATATGTGTCTTGTGGCATTTGGGCAACTTGAATTCTCTTTCCTTATTCATTTATACAATTGTTATTTTATCTTGTTGCAATTTCCCTTAATACATAGTAGAATTTGCATCTACACCCAGCCAAATAATTCCATGGGTTTTGGGAATGAGATGGCAAAATGCTAAGTTGCAATCAAGTTTCCAATTCTTGATGTCAACAAGGATCGATCCCTATTCTGCAACCGAGCACTTGGGAAGATGGGAGTACACTAACGGTGTGTTAGGATTGAAAGAAATGGAGGGAAAGGAAAGGAAGAGAAATGGAGGGATGAAATATCTTTCATTTGGATAACAAATGGGGAATGAAGGGAATTGGAGGGGAGAGAAATGGAAGGATTAAATTGTTGGAAATTGATCCCTCCAACACTATAGAGATTTGGAAGGAAAACTCAACATTCTTCCCTCCCCTCATCTGCTCCTCCCCCCCCCCCCCCCGGCCCCCCCTTCTTTTCCTTCCTCCTTTTTTTTATCCAAACACAGTGTAAAGTTTAAGACACGGATTTACACAAAATCCTAATCATTAAGGTACCAAACGGAAAAAGCCAATTCCTTCTCTTCCACTTCATTTCAAAGCACATCTAAATTGGAACAGTTCCATAAAACATCAAAACCATAATATTAACAAATCAAAAACCAAAGCAGACAAAGAAGTTACTAAACTGTACTTTTTTTTTTCACAAATCACAATTACGTAGTAATATGAAGTTTTACAAAGACAGTTACACAATCCATTGAACATCTCTAATTATAGATCAACATCGGACCAGAAGAAACCATGGCCTATTTATTCAACTCATAAGACACTCATTTTTTCTTTTCTTGTAAACTTTGACAGCTTAGCAAACCACACATAATTAGTTCATAATACAGATGAGACAATTGCTCGTCTTTAATCACAAGTGCATGGGTCGCAGCTGCAGTCATCTCCACAACCGCACTCAGTCCTTGAATACATCCTGTGAAAAAAAAAAAAGAAAAAAATTGAAGCATGTTATGATGTATTCTTGCAAGTTTCAACCGATTGCCCCAAATAATGGACATAGAGAAGAACAATTGATATACAACAAATATAAAAGCGCATCAGTATAAGTCAAATCTATGAACTGAAGAAGTCTAAGGCCATTAAGGATACTAAGAGATGGGGGAAAACGGTAAGACAAATATCGTAGTTTACTCCATATTACAGATGCAATATTGAACTTATGAAGAAGTAAATATACCTGTTGCAGTTGCAGTCGTCACCACAGCTGCAGTTGTCGCCACAGCCACAGGTTTTTCGGGCCATCTTCTTTCTCAGTGAATATTGATAGCGTTCGGAAGATTGATTGCTAGAATATGTTGTAAAGAGAAATGAATTTGTGGATGATTCAGAATTGATGAGCAATGACACCTTTATATAGAACCTTGAAGGTACTTTGCAAAAATCCCAATCATACACGTCTGATATCTGATATCTTGGCCCTTCACCATGTCAACTCTACCCCGCATACATCTCAGCTCTAAGAAATGTAAGCAAAGATCTTGATAATATTAAAAATAAATAAAAATAAAAATGGTGGATGATATGGTCATGGCGGCTGAAATTACACATATGACTTTAAATTACCATATAATACATGTTTCGTCTTGTATAATAAATCAATGACAACCACTCGTTGCATTGAGTCTTACACTCTATTAAACACTGTACACACATAAAACCTCAAATGAAAGATGTATACGTCTCAAGTGCAGCAACTTACAAGTCAATGAATTTTAGCCACATTTCTAATTCTGATTCCTTTAATTAAATGAGGGAGGTGGGAAAATGGAGTGCCAAATAAGCATGAAGCACAGATAACCCAAAAATGAAGTCAAGCTCAGAGATAAAAACACACCCAAAAAAAATCTGAAATGAATAAAATCAATATCAATGATTATACAGCATGTATATTACAAATACAGAGTATATAACAAACTCATTTTGAGTCCAATACATATCATATTCATTTTTAAAAAGAGATCACATTCATCTTGAAAAGATAGACTACTTATTTGGAGCAAAATCTAGGGGTGTAGCTCCAAAGATCATATTCACCATCACATACATTCATAAGCTCAAAGCTTTGTTAAAAGCAGCCAAACTTACCCACCTTTTTTCTTTTCATTTTCACAAAGATCAGAATATTAGATGATTTCTGTCATGAAGCAATTAAGATAAAAATTGAAGCAATTGACTATGTCTGACAGAGCAAACCTTTCAGACACCTAACATTTTAAGTGCATAAGCATCCTATGTCATGATACAGTTTAAGATAGAAAAAACTATAAGAAAAAATAGGTAATGATGATTTTTTCAAATCTAATCATAGTCCAGATTGACTTATCCCAACAGATCTTATGCTGCAATTTCAACATATTAAAACAGCATGAAGCTTGCTTCTTTACAAGTTGACATTGAAAATTTGATAAATTAAAGCATCAAAGCTAAGAAGAAAAGGACTTCTTGTAAACATGTCTTATTAGCTTAATCATATAATGACAATTGACTTCAAGATGCGGCAAAATCCATATCTCTAGCCATACCAACAGAATGGTACTGTATAAGAAATCTAAGCACTGCCTACCAAAAATAACCACCATCTTAGACATTTGGAAAGAAAGAACCCCTGCGCCCTGTGTTGACATGAATTTTCGAAGAGGGCTAGCCAATATATTCAATTCAATCCCAAGAATAATAGTAAAAAGATATGATGTCTATGTTCTAAAGTTCTAAACAACAGAAATATGGAATAATATCAACTAAGATATCATTTCCTTCCTCTTCCTTATCCCAACCCAACTCCCAACTCTCCTCTTGGTGACTTAATTATGAAATAGTTAATCAACTAATATATTATCTCGTCTCAGACTGGCAGGTTCCCCACCATTAACAAGCACTCTTAACCCAGCTTTCAGATCCGGTATCCCCTCCTCCAAAACTGCACAAACTGGGTAGATAGGAATTCCGCGCACCCTTCTCTGTAGCTCCTCCAAAACACATTCAGCCCCTGCCTCATCAGTTTTATTTGCCACCACTATAGATGGACGGTCAGACAAGCCTTCTTGATAATGCTCCAACTCTAAGACCAAATCTCTGAGCTGCTCCCAAGGTGGAATTCCTTTGCGGCCATCAAGTGCAGCAGCCAGGTCAACCACATATGCCAGGATTTTTGCCCTTTCTATGTGTCGTAAGAAAGCATGTCCTAGACCACGATTCTCATGAGCACCCTTAATGAGTCCTGGGATGTCAGCCACTGATATTGATAGTTCATCATAGTTTAACTTCCCTATATTAGGTCTCAATGTTGTAAAAGCATAATGTCCTACAGCAGGTTTGGCCCTAGAAATAGCACCCAATATAGTGGATTTTCCTGCATTAGGCATTCCCACAAGCCCCACATCAGCAATACTCTTTAGCTCCAGTATTATAGTAGCCTGTGACCCAGGCAAACCAATTCTTATGTTAGGTTGATTATCATCATCAGAACTTTCTACATTATCATTCTTATCAATAACAAGATTCTTATTTTTTAAGTTCTTTAGATGACGCTTCCCAGCTGACACACTGCCTAAACCCCCTTCTCCCCCATGAGCAACAATTAATTGCTGACCCTCTTCAGTCAATTCAGCAACATTATATTGTATTTCTTCCACATCTTCTTGAAACTCCTCTACAAGCATACCACTATCAATTTCCAAATCACTGTCGTCAGCCAATGTACTTTCACAATCACTTGTATTCTCAGAGTAGGAAATATGTACATCCTCAATATATGTCGATTTACCACGACTATGAGAAGGAGGAGAACAAGTAGGAAGAGGAGATACAAGAGAGGGTGACTTGATATACACTGAACTCTTAGCAGTATCATTAGTACTAGAAGGTGAAACTTGAGCACCACTCTCCACCAGATCCATATCTGGACCCCGCAAACTAGAAGCGGATAACTGATCAAATTCAAGGAAATCAGAAGTAACAGTACCTGGAAGATCCCAAGGATGAGTCACAGAAGACGGTTTCTCCACAGCTGAAGAGATTTCACCCTCCACCAGATGGATAACAGTACCAACAGGTACTTGCACAACCTGTGGAACAAGATTTGAGCAATCAATTAACCACAACACAGACACACCTATACTAATAAACAGATATGACCAATAAGAAATTAAAAAGTCTATAGATCATAACCTTGTCTTCTCCACGGCTGCCAATCTTATTCTTTGAGGCTCCATGCCCACCATATCCTCCAGTCTGCCATCCGCCACGATGACATCATCAAAAGTGAATCAATTAGACTAAAGTAATTTTTTAGGCATTTAACTGTTCAATGACACAAAACACAGCAGATACATACAATGTGATGCTGCAGACCACGGAAGTCCCAAACTGCAGAGGTGCACTGTAAAATCACATCACCGCCTCTTCCACCATTTCCACCTGTAAAAATATGGGAGTATATAGATTGTGTAATTAGTCAAACTATGCTTCTAAATATGTTCAACTAAAATTGATAACACCAAGGGTTCAGAACTCATGCTAGAGTCAAACCCACCATCAGGCCTGCCATAGCGATCAGTTCGACTACGACGCAAGCTGCCATTTCCACTTCCACCATCACCTCCTTTAACATGCAATCTAAATCGGTCAATCATTCTCCTCTCCTGAAATATATTAGCAACCTCAATTCAACTCTATGCCTAATAGAACAATAAGATGAGCAAGAGCAACCACTCTTTTCTTTGAATGTCAACATTTAATGAAATACCTATGAATATAAGTTACGAACCTGCAAAGGAGTAGCTTTAAAATTCTTTCCAGAAGCATTAGAATATGAAGAAAATGACCAAAGAAGCCTCGGTGATGTAAAAAAATTTCTCAAAGATTCTTCCTGATGAAGGCACCTTGTTTTGCATAACAATGTTCTCGAAGCTAACATATTGGCCTTCACTCTCCCTGCATTAACAATACCACTTATCAATCATTTCTGCACCGATGTTTTGGTAGTTTGCTTGAAACTAGATACAGAAAACATATAAGAGCAAGAAACTAAATTTGACATAAAGATCCATCCTTTCTTCAACACATACAGAAGAATTCGAAAACCTCAAAGAACAACAAATTACCTAAAAAAATATGGCATACACAGAAAAGCATTGCACTTTTCCATTAGTCAAAACTCTTCAATAAATTATCATTCATCACTTTTTCTCTACTCTATTCCAACTTCCAAATCCCACATATGTAGAGATAAATTTAAGTGATTCAACGACTACACTAAAACCAATCGCCTTGAAATGTTTGTTTTTGCCTCCATTAACAATTGATTGATTGAAGACATTCAATAGTATGTCCTCCCTCTAAGAGGTTCAAACTCACAAATCATACATCCATTTCAATCGACCAACCTCTAAACTACAGGTATCCTCTAATTCAATTGCATTACATTTCAATTTTTGCCTCCGACACAAATAAGATTCGGTTAATGCAAGTTCAAAGCTAATGTCATTCAGTAATAAAGCTAGAATAAAATTTTAGCAAAGATCATGAAAACATAGACATTTCATCAAACAGGTGGTATGCATAACTAATATGACATTAGGGTACACCCTAAGAAATTAAATCAAATGAAATTCAAATAATATATCATCAAAAAATCATAAACAAACAAAAATTGAACATTTAAAAGAACAATTAACTATTGTTAAAAGGCACACTTAAATATTGAAAAGAGGGAAAGAAGGGGATTGTGATAGAACTTTGGTACTGAAATTATAATGTAAAAATTTAAGAATCATACTTTTCTGGGCGACTTGAGATTAGTGACAAGAAACTCCGGCTCGGCTTCGGCAGCTGAAACGGTGTAAGTGTAGCTTTGCTCTGCTTCACCGTTTTTTTCTCTCTTTTTGAAGAGGCTTGATTATTTTCTGATTTTCTTTACTCCGTACTTCGTTTTTTTTTTATTGTCACTCGTACAGTCGTACGTAAATTTCTACTAAGTGCTCCGTACTTATTGTTTTATTGCATATAATTTGTTATACACATCCGGTATAGGTATATCTAAGATCATTTGCTCATTTATTCAATAAATAAGCAAATATTGAGCAAATGATCTCGGGTATATGGTGTTTTGGGTAAAAATACCCTTGCTATGTGGCCCAATCTGAAAGAGACACGTGTCAACCGGGACAGGTCCTACATGGGTCACTCACGTCCTGACACGTGGCATCCTTAACCTAATCCACAAAGGAAATGGCAGTCTTCAAGGCCCAATTCTCAAGAAAGTCGTAAAGCGGCGCAATCCATTAAGTCAGAATGACCTAAGAGACACATTAAATAGGGAGATTTCCCCATTAATGAGACACGTTCATTTACTACACACACCTTTTTAGATGATTAGCGTATTTAAGAGATTTAACTCTATCAATTTTCAAACTTTGTCAAAAAAATGTAACGTATCATCCATTTTCAAATAAAAAATTGTGCTACTTCTCTCAAGTAAGTGATTGGATATGTGCTTTATGTCTAACTGAAAACAATCTAACTAATTGTTGTGAATGAAGCAAGATTGCAAGGAAGTAACCTACCTAGCCTTGTTAAGTCCCTAATTGAAAACATTCAAAGCCCTCTTGGTGTGATGGTTGATTGGCGGTGCCTACTATCGGGAGTTTTACGACTTGGGATTTAGATATTTGAAAATTTGTGGGACAATGGTCAAGATAGAACAAGTGGTTGATAGCATTTGCAATGTTTTGCCTTAGTTATGTCTTATTTTTACCGTTTTATAATTTTTAAAGAAAGGGCACGTGCTCTATTAGACACTTCAATAAATTTGCAATTATGTAATAAGTTAGAATATAATACAAGTAATAATATTTTATTAATTATGATATGTCATAATCTAATAACTTACACTCTTCCTATACCTTAAGTATATACGGAGTAACTAATTAATGATAAACAAAAGAAGGCACATTACTTCATACAATATACATCATCCTGCATGAAGTATTAATGCAGGTGAGTGGTGAGCCAACCAAGAAGCATATATATATAACAATCAATAACTAACAATTTCATCCAACAACTCATTGAAAACCAAGTCCTCCAATTCAAGAGCAAGACCTTCCGTATATGTTTGAAGATTGACCCAACCATTTTTGTCCTTTGATAAGTCATGAGCCACTGCAACATCAAGTGAAGGGTCAAACTCCGGCATCCAACTCAAGTACTCCCTAACAAATTTCCAAACTTCTAAAACAACACGCCTTTTTCCTTTTGTTGTAGGACTAACATGGCACCAGAATGATAAGGATTTGGGGTAACATACATAGGACCGTTCACTAATATCAATCAAAGCCTCATTGATTAAATCAAACACGAGTTTGCGGTGATAGCTTGACATGAAAATTTCATCTTTGTCTAATAATTTGGGCTCAAAGGGACAGCAAACCTCAATTCCATCAAATAGTGCAGGATCAAGTGGCTGAGTCTGTGAATGCCATTCTTCGCATTTGTTTTCTTCTGTTGCCAAGCCTGATATATCAAGTACATATTTCACATACTGTAAATCATCGTTCAAGTTTAAGTCTTGATTGTCATCCTCCGTTTTTCTAGAGAATGTAGACAGGCGGTTTAACTCTAATGGTGATCCTGAACAGAAAAGTGACTGATGTTATAACCAAAGTATTAACTTGTTAAATTCAGTATTAAGTTGCATATACTTCTAATAGAAATTTTAGTACTTGAATCTATTAAGAAATTACCTTCTGATGAAATAGGCCAATCCACATGCTCAATCTCATCATTCTGAGTACAAATTTCTAGATTAATTTCGCGACTGCTAGCTATTGCCATAGCATCAAACTGTTCCTCAATGAACCTATTTTCCTTTCCTTTTGATAGTGATTTGGCTAAACTCACATTTTCTCTAGGAGAATCAAGCCTTAATCCTCTAGCTTCTCCATAATTCATGGTGTACCATCTTTCAAGACTAGCTCGAGATGGTTCATTCATAGTGAGCATAGGAGACTCAATCTCAGACAAATAGAGTCCATCTTTAAAAGATCTCTGCCCTTGAAGATCATTCAATGTTCCGAATTCCTTCTCATTACTTAACCTTACGCTTTTAGATAGATGCTTCTTAATCGCTTTATTACTACTACTATCAAACAAATAACCATATTTATCCAAGGTGTGCTCAGTAACAGATAATGATCTTGCAATGTTCTGTGACTTGGCCTTCTTCAGCTGACGCGCAGTGCCAGACACAGGCCAAGCTTCATTGTACTTATGTTCAACTTTGGCAGGTCTTCTTTCTCTTTCAGAATTCGAAGAATTTAAGGAAGGAAATGTCCCACACTTAACCAACTTCATGTTTTTTGGAGGACTATTTTGCATAATTCTAAGGAACAAGTCATGATCCACTTTATACAACTCCAATACACCCACATAATCATTTTCCACCTTTGAATCCTTGTGATTAACCTTTGTTTCCGGCTTCATATTACTCGATTCATCAACATGATTAATGCTTTTGATCAACTTCGGATTTGCCTTAAGAAGAGACATTAAAGTTGGAGCATAATCATCATCATCACATGACTTATCCTTAAGAGTCTCTTGATCAGGCAAATCTAATTCTCTTGAATTGTTTTTTTCTTTCATTAATCCTCTAATTCTGGATTTAATAGACCTCTTACTAGCCGAACCATTTCTTGAAGAACCCGAATTAACCTGCTCATAATTTAATTTACAAGATAAATACTCTTGTGAAAAATGTAACAACAATCCAAACCATAAAAGTTCTATATATGGAGTATGTTATAAAAAGACTATTATATATCCATCAAAAATAGTAATGGTTTTGCGATCACTATTTTTTCTTAATTCAAAAATACACCAATAAAGTTAAAGAAGATGTTAGAATTGAAAATCTCCAACAATTATTCTTGTTACAAAAATCATGTCATATAAGCACCAATAATAAATAAAGGTTGAGACGATATGATAATCAAGGGAGTATTGAATTTCTAACGAGTACTCGTGCTCGTGCAGATACGACTAATTCATAAAGCTACATAATGTCAAAATGAGAATTTTCTTTTGTAATCAAAACATAATCATTTAAATAAGAAAAACTTACAGAAGCAGAGTACTTTAACATAAAATCCTCCTCCAATTCTTGTGATAGGTTAATTTCATGCTCTCCTTCTGACTTTATTCCTTTACCTATTTAAAATAAATTTCACATATAATTTTCTATTTATTTCAATATCGAACACAAATAAATAAATAAATAAAAAAGGGGCTTACTTTTGGTTGATTTATTATCATGGGATTTATGCTTATTGTAAGGAAGCATTTTTTTGACGTTATGCCATGGATGATAATTAAACATTTGGAATACGGTCCAAATACATCCTGGGTGATCTTCCTCCACTTTTACATAAGAATGTTTTCGCCATATATATTTTCTCATCTTCAATCACCCCTGAAATTTGGGCAGAAAAACAGAGGATGAAACAATAATAATATGAAATGAGAATAAATAAGTAATCTGATGGAAATAATATGGTGAAGAAGTTGTGAGGGGGTTTAAGAGGAGAGAGAAAAAGGGGATTAATTAATAATGTTATAATTAAATGAAGAAATTAATAATATGAAATGAGTTGGTAACATAAGAAAATAAAAAATAAAATAAAATACGTAGCTTTAACGTAAAAAGGGTTGACCTGAGAAAAAGTTAATCTTCAACAATTCTCCATCTTTGAAAGAGAAGAAGGATTTGTTGAAGATTGAAGACGAGACTCCAGGTCTTCTTTGTCTGCTATTTTTTTTGTTTTTATTTTTCTTTTTGTTTTTGTTTTTTTGGTTTGTAAGTTAGTACTAAGATTAACCAGCGAAGACCCCGCCAGAAAAGTTAGTTGGGGTTGGGGGGCTTTCCCTTTTTACGCGCCATTGCCAAGTCAGTCTTTCTTTCCCTTTTTTATGCTTCCAACTTCCTATTTTTATTGCCTTTTTTTTGTGATGGGTAATTTTCAAATTAATTATCACTCTAATTATGAAGTATACTCCGTACTAATAGTGCCAAAAATCTTAAGCATCTTATGTTAAAATTAACGGTGTTACGATTAAGTTCTAGATTCTCTTCTCTAGAGATTCGAACTAATTCATCGTATGTTAAGATAGATTATTATTGAGGCCATGTTCGACAAAAACGTAAATATGGGAGCAACAGTTAACCGTGATAGTAGATGTCAGTTATGAGATTAATTGTTAGCTAACTATCAACAAATTGTTACTTGTAAAAATAGATAATTTAAGTATGAGTAGTGTTTAATAATAAAGTACTTGTTTGTTAGATATTGTATAGATATTTTTTTTCCTAATAATTTTAGCTTTTGATACCTCGACCATTATAAAATATTCTCACTATTACATTGCAAAACACTCAAATCTAAATAGTCAAACTAGTAAAAACTACTCAAAAACTAGTGTTGAACACGATTATCTTTATAGTTTTACAATCTATTCGGCTAAATAATTTATTTCCCAAAAAAAAAGTTTTCTAAACAAACCTCACATACAGGCATACATTCAGATTAGTAACTACTCTTAGCTTCTAATTACCCATCTACCTCTTTATTTGTACATTAGTTGGATAGTTGGAAAGCCAATTTGTTCAACTACTTCAGTAATTAAAAAGAGAATCTTCTTCACTAATACCTACCAAGTAGCAAATTTGAGTATGTGATTAATTAAGAATGATGTATAATCTTGACTATGAGCCAAATAGTAGGTATAATGTAACTGTTATAGTCTACTTATAATATTCCATTAGTATGCATACCAAATTACCAATAAAGTAACATATTACAAGTACTATTTTATGAGGTAATGTGATTGATTTAGCATTAAGGTGAAATTGCATTATCCGAATCTCATTGTTGAACTGCTTACTTCAGTTGACCAACCAAACCCAACGTAAGGTTTGTGCATCATCACTTAATTATATTTTAGACGTCTTCAACGGGCTGACGGATACTCCGACCCGACCCGGCAACCCGGCCTATATATTTGGCCCAAATTCAAGTTGTATTGAGGAGGGGAAAGATGCATAGTTTTGGGCTTAAGATTATAGTGTCTTTGTACAGACGGTGAGTAACTGACCAAGGATAGATGATGGTTCATGGCTTGCTTTGAATTAGCCTTATTGCAAAGCCCAAATTAGAGCTTTTTAGGCACAAAACCTCAATTTAATTAATCATACCTCAAATATTAAGCATTCGATTTGAACATGAAAACAGAATAAAATTTAGTATTCAATAATCACTTCGTGCAATTACAACTTACAAGATAAGATAACACTAACACACGAAAATAAATTTCAAAACTACAATGTTTGCACCTAAAAACACAACTCATCATGTAGTGTATATAACATAAGGTTGATTAACAGAAGCGATCCATAGATTACCATGGATTTCTGTAACCTCACTCGAATCTGCTATCTCAAATGTATCCAAACTTTCTAATATCATTCCAGACTCATCAACTCTAATTGGTTTAGTTGGATTTTTTGCAATCCAAAATTCTCCATTGATATTTCTATTGATATTATCGGGTAGCCCAGTAAGTTGGAGAAAAATCTCATTAATTCCAGCTTTAGGACCCTTGAGCCAATACTTTAGAACACGGCAAGCACTTGTTTCAGTTACTAGAATAAAATCCTTGTTCTTGCTTAATGCAACCCCATTTGCAAAATATAGATCTCTCAGCAAAACTGTCAAGGCTTTCGTCTTCATATCATATTTTATCAATCTTCCACTCCGTTCAAATGTGGCTATTGCCATCGGATATTCCCTGTGACATACATTTAATTAAAACATCAAGTATGTAAGTCTAACAATAATATGGGTGAAATGAGAAAATTAACTTTATGAGTTCGTAAAATGACATACCATCGATGATAAGTAGAACTTGTATCGGTAAAATAAACAACTCCATTCTCAGAGTCTATGTCTAGGTCATTTAAAAATTTGAATGGAATCTCCTCGGCACTAGTTGCAAGTGAAACAGCTACACCACCATTACGATTTACCTTGACCAAGCCATAACTAGAGTCCACAATATACAATTCACATGTTACCATATCGAACTTTAGGCCTAATGGTCTGCCACAAGTTTGCTCATTTGGTGAATTGTTGGTCCCATCACACAATTTAGACCTGTAGATAAATCATAGCACATACAAAGTATCCAAAAAAAAAAAAAAAAAAAAAACATACAACATTGTTAGACTATTTTTCAATGCAAAAGTGGAATTGAATAATTAATTACACAGGAACAAAATAATTACACAAATGAAAAAAGTTTAAAGACTAAGCAAAAGTAATAAGTTGCTGCATGCAAAAAGGTTAGTACTATCCTGTCAAACATCTCTCGTATAAAAAGGCCAGCTAGCACCAAATATAGAATTAAGTCTAAATTAGCATGATTATTATCCTGTAGCCATAGACTAAAACTACTCCGTATTAATTAAAACCGACATTTTAATTAATTAGTGTTAAAAATATCGTTAATAACCAAGGGAAAAGTTTTTTCAAAGAAGCTAAGCTAGGCATACCTGTTTGAATTGGTTATAGCAAAAACAGTCCAACTACGTCCTTCCCACTTGAGTATTCGACCATCAGAGACTCCCACGTATGGACCCGTACCTTGGCAATCGAATGCTATGGACTCGGGTCCAACCGCATTGAGTCCTAGAGGAAGTCGATGATAATGTCTCGTACGAGGTTGCGATCCAACCTCATGTCCCGTAAAGGGAAAGATAGCTTGAGCTTGGAAGATTTTAGAAATAAGTTGTATGAATAAAAAGACCCATATTGTACATTGCAACTTCATAATAGCTAATTTAACTATGATATTGGAGTACATAAACTATGTTTTTATGCATTATGTACGTCTGAAAAGAGTTTATAAACAAAGAAAGTGCATTAATTTTTGTTCAAGGAGCATTAAAAGCACTCAACAACTAACAAAAAGTTGTGCAACATTAAGGCTACTTATGTTTAGCAATTGGCGAATTAAGATAATACGACTTGTATGCATGCATTATTTAGGAAATAGTGTCTTGCACGACTAACCTACAATTAAAGCTAAAATTGGAATTTTTTTTACCCAATTCGAAATTGGTTGAGATTTGAGACCGAATTTTTTAAAAAAATAGGTCCCTATTAGCTATGTGCTATTTTAAAATATGGTTTATTTTTATGTGCTTTTAATTCCATGAAAACCTAGCTAGATTAAACAATAGGCAATAATAGTCCAATACAAGTGTACATTATTGAATAATTGAATAAACTATTAGTAGTATATATATCTTCAAGAGCCTACACATAAAGCTCGTGTTTGACTTGATCCAATTTGGTCAACTATTCTCTAATGCTCGTAATAGAATTGGATAATTTATTTTTCTTTCCTTTTAATAGTATTATGTACGAAGTATATTAGAAGGATTTTAAAGGATAATAGAAGCGCACATCCTTCCCTATCTCTCTCCTATCTCCTTCCACAAAAACTATCAAAACTTGTGTAAAAGACAATCACAAGCATGAAAATGAGGATGATTCATTGATATATTCTTTTGAAGATCTTACCCCAAATGAACTATGAAATGGATGAGAATGGCACATTTGCTAAGAACTTATTCTTCGCTAGCTAATTTAGAACATTACGGGTTTGTTCTCTTCAGCTTAATTTCAGTTCAGTTCTTAATTTTCTTCTCTCGTAAAATATTCAGTTCAGTTCATTTCAACTCATTATAATAAATCAAAACAGGCTCTACCTATTTTTGTTATATAAATATGCTAATTAAGCATTATAGTACTGTAGATTGAAAAATATAAAAGACTTCGCTTGTATATCTCAAATTATAATTATGATGCGCGGGTCTAAAACATGGCCCAAGGTTAACTAGAGTAGGACATTTAGGGCCTCTTCTAATACGATTTTTTTCAGTACAGCTCAACTCTAATAAAGTTCAGTTCAGTTAAGCTCTAATAAGTTTAGTTCAGTTCAATTCTAATAAGTTTAGTTCAGTTCAGCTCAGTTCAGTCAATGAGAACATGCCCTTAATTTGATCAGATCATAGTATGCTAGAGAAGAAAATGTTGTTCTTGATTCTCTAGTGTATGCCACAATTTGGTCCAAATACTACATTAAAGTTATCAAATGATCAATATTGATAAAGGACCAATTTAAGCAAAAGTTTAAGCTATTGATTGACTGGTTGAAGCCTATGATCGATTTATATACTCTATCACACTCCCTCACATGAGTGTCCTTGGGCCAAGATCGATTTATATACTCTATCAAATATGACTCTTGGACTTGGAAATGTGGAATGTGTATGTAACATTGTCCCATCATACGTAGCGATTAATATTCTATTTTAAAAGGAGAGGTGGATGACATTTAAAATCGTGACCTTTTGTGTCACACTAGCTCTTTATACCATGTTAGTGGACCATTTGAACCTATAGTTTAAGATGATGGTTGAAATTCAAGATCGATTTATATACTCCATCACACTTGTCCATGGTATTGAATTAAATTTGAAGATCATAAAATAAGAAAATACCATTCCATATAAGAAAAATAAAAATAAAAAGAAGGGGCAAAAAATATTGTAGGAAGTACTTTATATTTGTCTTCTAACACCAAATTGACTGGTGTCCAATTGTCCATACCACATGCACAGCATCTCACATTCTATCCTCCTCCTCCACTATCATAACTTAATTAACTTAATCTTCTACCATCAGTCTATTATTATTATTATTATTACAACTTGCACCAAATCACACCATTCATTTCATTTATAATCATAAAATAACAAATTAATAATTACTCATAACAATTTTGATGTTTTCCTCATCCAACACCATCATCATCACCATTCATCAACATCATCCATCATCATCATCATCACATCTTCTTTTGTTCATCCATTTTCACTCTCTCTTCTTCTCTCTCTTGTTCACTTCACTGCACTCCCACTAAAAATCTCAAAAAAAAATGGTATCACTCCCTAAACCCCCACTAATTTCCCATTTTACCCTCATCTTCATCATCTTCTTCTTCATCCTCCCAATTTACAGCTTCAACATAACCCAGATTCTCTCTCATTACCCAGATCTCTCCGATTTCACCTCCCTTCTTTCAAACTCCGGCATCTCCTCCGACCTCAACCGCCGCACTTCCCTCACTATCCTCGCCGTCCCTAACTCCTTCCTCCGCTCTTCCTCCCCCACTCTCCCCTCCGATTCCCCCTCCACCCTCGCTGACGTCATCCGCTACCACATCTTACTCCAATACCTCACTTTCTCCGATCTCCGGCGAATCCAACCCGCCGGAACCCTAGTCACCACCCTCCTCCAAACCACCGGAAGAGCCCCCGACAACCTCGGATCTCTGAACGCTACCTTCAACCCTTCTAATGGCGGCATTTCATTTCACCCTCTTAACAACAACTCTGTTTCCTGTAACATTCTCTCTCTCCTCAAAACGGTGCCGTATAATCTGTCAATCTTCACCGTTGATTCCCTCCTCGTTCCGCACGGATTCGATCTGATGGCGTCGGAGACTCGCCCGCCTCCGCCGGGGTTGAACATCACCAAGGCATTATTCGATGGACATGATTTTAATGTCGCGGCTTCGATGCTTTTAGCTTCAGGGGTAGTTCAGGAATTTGAAGATGATGAAGGTGGTGCTGGAATTACCCTTTTTGTCCCTACTGATGAAGCCTTTGCTGACCTTCCACCGACTGTTCAATTGCAAGCATTATCGGCGGATAAGAAAGCTTTGATCCTCAAATTTCACGTACTACACTCCTATTATCCTCTGGGTTCGCTCGAGTCGATTGTGAACCCGGTTCAACCCACGTTGGCCACGGAAGATAACGGTGCTGGTAGCTTTACTCTTAATATATCCCGGGTTAATGGCTCGGTTGCGATTAACACGGGGATAATTCAAGCCGTGGTGACTCGAACCGTGTTTGATCAGAACCCTGTTGCTATTTTTGGGGTTTCTAGTGTACTGTTGCCAAAGGAAATCTTTGGGGATGATGGAAAGGGTAAAGAGGTAAATTTGAGAGGTGGAAGTGGGAGTGGGCCGTTTATGGGGGCCCAACCACCGGTGGTTGGGCCTGCACCGGAGAATTCGCCCGGTGATGGGTATGGTGGGCCGAGCCATTTGTCGTCGCCGCCTGGGTTTACATCGGAAGGAGGAAGAGGAAGTGGAAGGAGTTGGAGTTGGATGATGTCTTGTATAGCATTGTTGTGTGTATTGATATCATAAGAAATTTGGTTGATTGATTTTGATCCTCCTTGGCTCCTTCATTTCTTGGTAAATTATATACAAGTATAATTTATTTGATTTGATACTATATTTATTTTTCAATGGATGATTTGTATACATTATTTATGTGAGTTGATATAGTATAGCTAGCTTAGGTAGCATAAAAATTGGGGAAGTTGGAGCAATTTCTATTGAGAATTGTTAAATAACCCAGGTAAGAATTTTCTTCAAATTTTTGTTGTATTCTTTGTTATTGAGATTGTATAAAAGCATGAGAAATCAATTTCAAATTCTTATCATACTATTGTTGTTATACTGTAATTTCAAGTACTCAATATTGGTGAAATGTAATGTATGCAAATTGAGTAGGGGTAATGAAAATCTGGTGCTGATTTTGGTGGTTAAGAAAGTGGGTGTGTAATCTGTGTATAGATAGAGTGGAAGAACAGGTTGGATCTTTTAATGTTGTAAGTTGACAGCTTTTAAGAATGAAGACTTTGAGACACCAAATTGTACAACTACTGTACTATATTTCGATGTCCTTGTGTTTGTTGTCTCTCTCTTTCCGTAAAACGAGTAGAGTACTAAATTTGGTGATGCTGTTGCTGGCACCCAGTATCACCTGAGGTACAGTAACCCAACAAATTCTTATGTCATTTGGCTTCACACATGCGAAAGTATTCGTATAATCTTTCATTAGATTTTGGTTCTGGTAAAATATACAGGTAAATACTCCGATAATTAATGGTACGTTACATACATCCCGGTGTACTATAACGAGGTGTTTAATGTTTCTCCACCCGTCTCGAACAAATTTGTTAAGTGTTAGTGTCACTTTTGTGTACGGGTGAAATGGGCGTATGGAACTATGGATGTATGCCTGAGGTGATAATGGACAAGCTGTCAATGATTGAAGCCAGCATGAGCATGAGGAGGTCAGTTCAACAACTTTACTTGTTACAGAAGCCCTACCACGGGACACGGGAGTAGCTTTGTTAGGTTAGCCCAAGATATTTGGGCTATGGCCCATGAATGAGGCTTCCTTCCCCTTTTGTTCAGGCCCATCTTAAAACTTGTTGTTTTCTTGTTAACACTTCTCATCTTGTAACATATGCCTTTCCAAAATCCTAAAATTGTAATTTTAAACTCTAAAATGTATTTTATGACAAGTATCAAATTATATGGTTTTCATAATTGTAAAGTCATAATATGATTTTGAACTTTATCAATTTCATCTTCTATATTTTGCATATTAAATTAGGACCTATACAATTTTTGTACGCAAACCATTATTCTATAGACTAATAATATGATTCCTATATTTTTATATTACAATTAAGAAATAATCATCATTCTACTGGAGTAGCTTTGTCAGGTTAAGACAAGTGCATTCTACTGGAGTAGCTTTGTCAGGTTAGCCCAAAATATTTGGGCCATGATTTATAAGGCTTCATTCCCCTTTTGTTCAAGCCCATCTTGAGACTTATGGTTTTCTGGTAAAGACTTCTCATCTTAGACTTTAGAAGGGGCACGTTTAAAAATTACTAGTATATATCCGTTTAAAAATAAAAAAGGTAATTAAGTTTTATAAAATTAATACTCGTAATATGGTTTTGAATTTTAGTAATTTTATCTTTTATCACTAAAATTTTTGGATTGAATAATAGGATATATTTTGTTATCTTTATTTTATTTTTATATATATTTTTTTAATGGTATTTTTTCTTATCTTTATCATTGATAATTACTTCTAAAAAAACATTAATTTTGTGTCAAATAACTATATCCTTAATAATTTTATATAATAATAATGTGGAGTCTAATTTATGGAAATATAATTCCTTGTTTCACAAGGAATATCCTTTGTTTAGGTAATCTTGCAAGATTTCTACCTGAATTATGCCTATATAATATATTATATATGTTTCAAATCTACAATGATAAGTGTGTGAGCTTAACCTAACATCAAACTAAACCACAACCAAAAAACAAAAACAAAAAAAAGAAAAGCTACATAATTTTTCGCATTCAATTCAACACCGGGCGCAATGAACATGTCCAAAAATCTTTTTACACTAAACCCAAAAAAGTTCGTCTCAAATTTCAGGGTGAGTATTCAAGTACGTTACCAAGGTAGAGATAAAGTTATGATATGGGGAGTGAACGTGTTAGATAACAATTAAAAATCTGATGGAGTTTTGATCAAGTTTTTAGAGTCAGAAGATTTCAAGCTTCATTCGACAATGCAAAAAATAGTGTCAACAATTGAATGGAGAGAAGAATTTGAGGTGGAAAGTTTGGTTAATAGAAAATCGGAATCAGGGTTTCGGGTGTATGGTGTGGACTACAAAGATCAACCAGTTTGCTATGTTACCCTTTCAGATTGGTGTGATAATAACATGTTGTCTATTTTTGGTTGTTGGGTTCAATTGCTAGAAAAGGCAGTTCGAACTCTTACTTTTTCGAAAACACATTCAACTGTCTTTAGGATTGTTGATGTTAGAAATCTATTTTTCATGCTTTTCAAATCACCGACCACCAATATTACCCTAACATCGTCAAAGATGAGGTACGTATATTCTATTACCTTATAGTCATTCTTGTTCGGACTTTATTTATTCTTGGTCAAAGTGGACTAAAAAACCATGTGGTCAATCTTATTTTAGAAGTTAGTGAATATCTGTCTTAAATAATTCATGGTTGTATATTTTATGACTCAAAGAATTAATTCATACAATCATACGTTTTCCAGGAAACCGATCTCATTGTTTTATCAAATCAATTCTGTGAGTTTGTGACCTTCTAACACCACAAAAAAAGAAGATTTACACCACAAGATTTACATGAGTGAACTCTTCAATCACATTCCCCGCTATGTCCAAAAAAGAAGCCCTTGTGAATTTAAATCACTTGTTCATCCACAGATTTTCAAGTGAGTCTCCTTTCTATATACGAAGTATTTTTTTTTTGGAAATGATACTTTTGTAGTTAATATGAGAGTGACCGTAAATGTTTGGCTTTATAATCTTACAAAAATGATTAAATAGTCAAATATGTATGTCGCAGGTATATACCTATTGTGCATGTTCCTGTTGAATATGGTGGCATCCCCCCAATTGTATAAGACAAAAGTTATGAAACTATAGGACGCCATATTGACATTTGTTCATCACGAAAAGATGTGGTGTTCTACTGTTATAAGGTTAGCAATTATCTATAGATTACTCCGTATATGATACATATCGTAAAAAAATAATAGTCGTCGTATATTTAAGATATATTTTATAATACTTAACATTAATTATTTAATTATTTTATTTTCTTGGACAGGGGAGTGAAATTACATTGCGAGCGAAGGTTGTAGAATGGTATGATGTGTCATATGGCATCAACTTTTTTGGTGAAAGCACACAAATAGCATATTGGCCTCTTAGAGGCATGTCTATGAATGCATATGAGGAATACAAAATCAAAAATCTTCCAGAAGATGGGATACTTTTGCTTAGTGTTAATAGTACCAGCTTTTTTATGAAGAAGACACTATTCTGCCTTTTGACTTCATTTCCACAAGGTTCTTTTGTGGAAATACAAATACAGAAACGGAAAGGAAAAGGAAAAGGGAAAGGGAAAGGGAAAGGAAAAGGGGAAGGAAAAGAGGAGCTAAACGATCTTCAAGGACTTCAAAAGAAGGCGAATGAGATTTATAATCGAGTGCGTATATTGTTGCCTAATGTAACGTACCGGTTTAATTGATATGGTTTTCGTAGTTGACTTGCTTCGTTATCCGAATTCTTCTACTTGATATATCTTAGTGAAAACACTAGTTTGGTGCTCCGTGTGATGTCCGAGTTTTTTTTATTGAATTTTAAGATAACTTTTTAATCTATATTTCAAATTTTATAATATATCATTGATACAAAATTGGTTAAGAATTGATGTATTTTAGTGACAATTAGACTATCTAGTAGACATATAAAAACTAATAATAATATTGGTGAAAATATTCGATTAAATACATTAAAGAACAAAAAAAAAATGGCAGAATAAAGCTTGGAATATTGGAAACTTCTAAAATAGCAAAAAATAAATTAAATAAAAAATTATTCTAAGCCCGTTAGTCGTTGGGTTTACCCGAACCCAAAACTACTTTACTTGTTTGTTTGTCATGGAAGATAAATTCCTATATGAAGTTGTATTTCATGGGAAATTATTTCCCTAATGAAATTCCTATTTGTTTGGTTGGTAATGTAAGTAGGAATTATAAATTTTCATGAATTTCGATCAATTGATAGAGAATTTACTTCACATGTGTTTGTGGGAAGTTGAAATTCCCATAAATTTCTATTCCCATCATTTTTATTTTTGATTGTTAACTAAATAACTAGATACCCAACACATTAATTCTCATGAATTTTTATTTCCCCCATATTACATTATCAACCAAACATGCTCTAAAAGTTAACATGTGGCAAGCCATGAATTAGGGGATTTATCTTTTAAAAAAGCATAGCACACATCATTAATGAAATGTTAATCTAAATTTTTCAAAGAAAATGTGAGTTTTTTTTTTTATTATTAACAATGATTATTTGTAAAAGAACAAAGTAACTCTAATAACGGGAAATGATTTTGAGACACCAAAATTGATTTTGAAACAACTTTATGCGAGAACATAATTTTCTATGCTTTTTTCACATAATGATGTGCCAAAATTAATTTCCCCTAATAACATTAACATAGTAACTTATTATATTAATTGGTCACTGTATGACTAACCCCGTATAAGAGTTATATGTTGTTATTTTATTACTTCGCATTTTGGTAGGTCGAAGGTATGAGCTAGTTTTTGGTGGTTTTATTATTACAAGTTTAGAGACGCACGCAATGCGTGCACGAGTATCCCCCTCTTTATATTTCGTACATAAAGTTATATACTTTACTTATTTGCATAAATGACATATTGACATAATTTATTACTCTGTATTATTTATAATTTTTAGATATAAAAATTCATTTAAGGGAATGAGTTATAAAAGAAAACCATTCAAAAAAAAAATCTTATAAATACTTTTACACGGGCTTAAATAT